GCGCTCAACAATAATTTTGTATGCACGAGTGTTCTGCCTGACATTCAACAGACTCGAGTAAACGCGAGACATTGAGGGTGCTCCTACTGACTTTTAATAATGCGGGACACCCTTCTATTTTTTTCATTAAACGAAGTTGTTGTATAAGTCATTGATCATTATTTAACTGTGATGTATTTATGTGCGATCACGTCCACCGATCGGCTGGTAAATCAGTGCCACTAGTAGAACATAGACGTCTGATCGAGCGTCAATTAATGTGATACATATCTTTCCGGAGCGGACCGTAACGAATCGTGCCCCAGTACCGAAATGAGCGGCGGAACGTGCTCATTGAAAAGCAGCTGCCGACACCGTGAACCGATAATTTACCACACATAATTACTATCTAATAACCAACACCTCAATTAATATGTTGAACTTAAATGGAGATGTAATTTCGACTACGTTTACACAGAGCTATTGTGTAAATACTGATGACAAAATTAATAAAGCATGCCAGTATGTTGTATATGTAATTTACATAAATACACATTTTATATTCCATACATACGACTCTCTGTGTAGTTTTTCCTATCCAATCAGGTACAATACATTTTTCATGCGTATTTTACAACACATAGATTAATTAATATCCCGGGCAACTGAATACTAACAACACATTAGATAATATCCTATTTAAAAATAGATTAACGCCGACTTATGCTGCATTTCAAAAAGATACAATCAAGGGGAATAACGTAAGACTGGTATTGTAATTTGTAATAGGCAGACGAGGGGATTACGTAACCACACGTAGCAGACGGCAGAGGGCTGATGAAAGGTTGACCTCAGGCGTGCGTGGGCTGTTCAGAGCTGTTTAGTGTTGCTAGAAGACATATCCCGTTTCTAAAATTAGATGAATCTCTAACACGTTTTAAGTAGCATGTAAATTTTTGCATTGTTTGATACGCTATTGTAGTTATAGAGCTTGATAAAAAAAATCCTTAGATATATTTATTAATGTCACAAAGCATATCTCGTACAAGCACACACATTTTGAATACTAGACGAACCTGTATCGCGGAAGTTCACAATGGAATTACCAAGACAAGTTTAGTGAGCCAATTGCATTGTTATTAAACATGAATGAAGATAAAGTGTTCCTGTAAAGCCATTAAAATTAGCTCTAGTCATTTTACAATAAAAAATATTAATGCCAATTTTTACTCGGCCAACGAGGGATGTTAAAGTTTTCCTCGAGTACATAAAAATGTAAACAGGGCCTCCTGACATACAGCCTAAACAAAAAAGCATTCTAATAAATAAATAGCAGCAGTTAAATTCAGCAGCAGTTAAATTCGTCGTAATTGTAGAAAGCCATTGACTACATAATAATAATACAAAATAAATATAGTGATCATAAGCTATTAAAAACATTATCGAGAAAAATTTAACAGTTAACTACCTGACTCTTGTCGTATTTAATTTCAGATGAAATCAAAATCACGTCGGACAGTTATCAAATGGCATTACCATTATATCATTTGATTTCAAGACGATGCGACTTCGATTCGATTGCATTAAAAGGCAACATGCAGGTTTTTTGTGTTTGTCACGTTATGACAATACAATCTGGTTCTGGTAGATAATGGTAATCTGACCGGGGTATACGAACTGCACCGGAATGTAAATAAATAGATACATATAAACAGGACGAGACAGCACACCTGCCGTTGATCGGCGAAATAAACAATGCAAGACGGCGCATCGCGCTGCGAATGAATGAACGCAACGCGACGCGACACACCAGCCGGAATCACTCCTTCGCATGAGAATTTACATACAAAGTTGTGAAAGAATACCATTACTTCATTCTTCGACACTTACGCATTATGAATATTAGGAGAATTACAGGGGGCAAGTGTCGCTTCAAAGGATATTAAAACGTGTTGCAAATACGGAGATAAGATCGCATCGGCGTAGCAGTACCTACCTTGATTCAATAAAAATCAGTAATGAGCGAACAAGTCGCTTAAATACATTTAAATATTTAGTGCTTTTTCCTATAGTCAAGCTATTAACATTAAGTGTATACATACATACATTTCACATCTGCTTCTTTTCAAGTAGAAACAATATAACCAGGGGGTCTACCATAAAATAAAATTCCGAATTTCCGAATTTGATTTCGTGTTTTCGTTCAATCCGAAATCGGCCCAGTAAATAGAGCTGTCATTTTGTTCGTCATAAATCCTAACATAAGATTTCAAAGGAACGAAATCTTAATATTTTTAAACGGTATGGACTATGTAATTAAAACATTAAATTTTTATTTCTTTCTGCCGTGAAATATCGAGAAAAAATTTATGGTTGGCCCTCTGAACATAATCAAATATAACGACATATCTTCGCCTGTTATGAACCAATTTTCATTATTAATCAATTAATGAAAAAGAATTACTTCCAGAGGAATCTTATATCAATTAGATTTGAAATTACAATTGTACGTTAAAAATATCATTGAATAAACTGTTTAGAAAACCGCTTGCCGATATCAATGACCCCGTTGAACTGTAGCATCCGCTAAGATTGTTTAGCACAAGAACTTTGCCTACGAGCAAAGGAAACTTAAAACAATAAACAACAATCCAATCATATCAAACATATTATAATGCAGAAGGGGTAATCAGCACCATAGATTTCATCATGGGCCTAACAACACCACCGTATGGATAAATAAATACAACTAAGGCAATCTACATAAATAATAGAAGTGTATTTTTGTTCATCTGGTTGTGCAACAGTAGTAAACAGTGATTTTTTTTTTAATTAAATAAAAAAATGGATATGAAAACGACATGAAATTTTAAGCAACCTCTAAAAGATTTTCAAGTCATTCTTATTTTTTTTAAATAGTTTGTTATGCGATCTTTCTTTTCTTATATTATAATCAATAGAGTCTATTCTCATATTTATTTTGTCACTACTAAAATTGCTGATACTTTTTTGGTAAGGAAGCATCTTAAAAATCACTTAACGCACGCTACTACTGTAATGTATGTATGTAACTATAACTGTACTAACTAACGCTAGTTCTGTAATGTAGTTACATTTTATGAAAGGATAGTTTTGTTTACTCCTTTTATTTGTTCTTCCGCATGGAAAGTTGATCAGTTTCTCAAATACGAAATCTAGCGATAGATTTCGAAATTGTCATACATTTCTGTTACACATTGTATAAGTGTCGTGTTATATCATCCCAGTACCCAGTACCATAAATATTACACTCTCACATTGGCTTCGCAGCATTCGTGGATCTGATATCTAATATGAAATACGACCGTCTCAAACTGACCTTAGATATTCTAAGAATAAAATAAAACAGTACTAGTAATTATTTGCTAACAGCATGCTTTCTTGCTATTACTTTTATGAATCTGATCTTTATACCTAAACACATAGAACTAGGGGCCCGCCCCGAATATGTACGGTTTTTTTTTAAATAAAATATAGTCTATTACGCACTGATAATGTAAATGTATGAAAACAAATTTTAAAATCGATTAAGTATTTTTGTGTTTATCCATTACAAAAAAAAAACCAAGAATTTATTAATATTATTTCATATTTATCCATCATTAACTATCTGCTGCTGTTATTAGTACTATTCTATGTCGGGACTATAGTGCAATAATACTTTATATTATTTTGACAAAAATATTAAGATCCACGAACCCTTTCTGAAGTAATAAGCATGGACTAAAACAAATCATTACAATCAATCCACAGCTGATGATGATAACGGCTAACATACAAACAAATACAATACAACTGCGGGCCACCTCATTTTTTATACTAAGCAGAACGCCTAATTTACAAATCAAGTTATCATTGAAATTGCTTAACAACATTGTTACTGTTCTTAATGTGTGGTTAAAGGTGAGATATTCAATTAAACACTGCACGTATTCTCGCACCTACTGAATTAGCTTCGTTTCGTTAATTAAACGGTTGTTTACAGATCTCATATTTAGGTCCTGGCGTAAATAAAAAATAATGTTTTGCAATTATTAGTAATAATTTATTGTTTCTATAGTACACCCGCTAGATGGAGTGACGACCTCAAATAAATTACAGGGAGTCAGTGGATGCAGATGGCTCAGGACCGTTCCTTATGGTTGTCTATGGAGGAGTCCTATGTACAACAGTGGACGGATAATGGCTGAAATGATGATGATATATAGTACTGACGTTATAAGGAACAGGTATGAAAATATGGATTCGGGATATGACATATGGATAATAAAGGAATGGACTAATATGGAAAAACTACAACTACATTGTACATTATTTGAAGGTTATTCTGTCTGGACTTATTATTAGCGACTATTATACTGCGAACTTTCAACGTAAAATTAGAAACTTTTATCAAACACCACACCAAACAGGTCTTGATCATTGAACTGTATTAAGCATCTAATGCTTAGGAAAAATGGGATAGAACAATCGAATAGAAAGAATTAAGATATAAAAATATTTTTTCAATAATGAGTTGGGTCAAAACTTTCGAAACGTGACAGTATAATTTATGTAGTAAAATGCTAAGTGGGTAAATCCTTATTAATATTATAAATATGAAAGTGAATTCGTTTGTTATATGTTGGCGCCTTAATAACTCTATTATTTGTTTTGAAATTTGATATACACGTACCATATGTTGTAAATAGCAGGATGCAGTAATAAAACATATATGTATTTGTGATATAAAATAATAAGTGTCTTATAAAAATCTGATATAGAAAAACATAAAAATAATACATTGTTCTAAAATACCTCAGTGTCAACAGCCAGTGTTAAAACTCCAACATCATATGGGATAGAGGACAAGCTATTTATCTCGGTCATTTGACATATTCCGATTATACAAAGTTGTGGGTAAAAGCTAGTTTCATTATAAATTAATAATTAAGTTGTTTATAAATAAATGTTAAAAACAAACAAATATTTGCACATTACAGGCGGGGCGATGTTAAGTGCGGCTGTGGCGGCGCTGGCGTGGCTCTGCTTGGCGCGCACTTCGCTCGCAGAGCCTCATAGCCTGCGTACGTACACACAAGCCTCACATAACCCTAAGGTAAATATTTTATTTTCCCTAGAAACTACAGTATGGGGTTCTTTAAGAAGAGTGTATTAAGGTTTCTTCAGGATCGGCAATGTGAACGTGACGCCCCTAGTGTTGCAGGCGTTCATAGGCTACAGTAACCGTTTACCATCAAACGGGCCGTATGCTTGTTTGCAACCTTCGTTGTATGAAAAAAATCATCAGCATCACTTCAGCCACAAATTTTCCAATGTTACATAAATATACAGAATGAAATTGAAAAATCGTTAGCATTTGTTTAACCAATAAAACTAAACATTCAGTATGGTTCAAAAAAGATAAAAACTCTTAATTTAGTATGGAAGTTACTATGCACGTTATGTAAGAGGTTAGTATATGAACTGTATCTTGGGTAGATTCTTAGATTTACGTACGGCTAACGAATTTGTGTTCACCAAGTATATGTCACCTTCAAAAACTGCTATAAGTTATTGTTAATTTTGAATCTCTTACAAGCATATTTACACTGAAGTCTGAGGTCCTTAACTCATCTAATTGGTAATTTATAACTGAATATTGAATGACATAATATTAGGATAATGGTTTACGCTGTCTAGATACCAATCATAGATCAGGATGAAGTTAGGAATGCTAGCCAATTATGATGATTTATTAGGAACTCACCACGACGGTTTCCCGGAGGCGTCTCGGTTTATAATGCTATAGGTGCCATTTATTTAGATAATATTAATCTCTTTTATACTAACAACAGAAATTGTTTATAGGACTTAACCAGTATATTGGTGAACATTGAGGAACGGTTAAGACAACTGGATATCGTCAGTGCTATGCAAGTGAAACAGGCTCGGCGGCTTGACGTCGTACAAGACAAATTAGGTGAGTCGATAAATTCGCCATTTTTTTTTTTTCAATACATCTTGAAATAGCAAACAAGTCGACAGCTTTCATTATCAAAAATAGTAACCATTACATTTATGGTAAGGGATATCATAAAAAATTTATATTGAAATTGGCACAATCTAATGATGCTGATTATCCGTTCGGGTAGAATATATTAATACGGTGTAACCATAGTATGATTAGTTTTTCTGTACATTTTTTATTATATAAGAACTAATGATTTTATAACGACTAACATAATGAACTTATTTTAAGAACACCATAATGGAAATAAATCCACAAGTTTAAAAACTATACGATATCACTAAGATGCACTTAAAGGTACAAATTTTACCCACATTTTGTTTCTTTAAAAAAGAAATTTGGTAATCGGTTTATAAATGACGGAGTTATGAGGTAACAAACATAAAAAAAATACAACCGAATTGAGAACCTCCTCCTTTTTTGAAGTTGGTTGAAAACAGCATCTCACATATTATACAAACACAACCATTGAAGCCCTATACCCTATACACCGATGAGTCACAGCTTACGATCTTATTGTGTCATATCCTATTTTAGAATGTAATGCTAGCTAGAGCAACTTTCGCAACACATCACCCGCAATTGAGCAAACAAGAGCACCGTTTAATCAATTGTAAAAGGATCCGCTTAAAGGGATCATTGAAATTTGTTGCTTTGAATAAATTAACATACGATAGTACAGGACGATGACAATTCTAAGCAGATAGGAATTAATTGAATGTTGATTATTTGCAGACCGTTTAGAGACCGCTCTGTCTTTGCGGTTAGAGAGAGCTCAACTAGCAGCGGAAAGACTAGAACACCGATTACATATGCTTCAAACAAGCGTGCAAGTAAGTAAAATCAACGTAACAAAATAAGTTATATATCTTTATAATAAAAATGAGTACCTACTATATTTACAATACATATTTTCAGACATCTATCAAAGAAAGCAGTGAAAAGATAGAAAGCGGTCAGGCAAAAATTGCGGAGGTTGCCCAAAATTTGACTAATCAAATTGATGTGCACAGGCGGTTATTAGATAAGGTGAGACTTAGATAAAAAAAAATATGAATATAATTCACATAAATCTCATAACTGTATGTTAGATTACATAAAAAAATATTTACAGGCAAACGGCGCCTATGCGGATACGTGGCATCGTGGTTTAGTAATGGAATCTCTAATGCGCGACGGGTTATCCTTGGTAAATGTAACTCGTCGTGAACTTGCCGACGGCCTGCGAACCCTAGCGAGACGTCAGCGCGACGCCAGACTAAGTACTGCTGATTTGGAAGCCAGTTTTATGAGACGAGTCACAGATAAAACAAATAAAATTGATTTGAAGGTTCTGTTCATACAATAATAATATTACAATATGCATTCATGAAATATTTGATAACTAATTTAAAACATATATTTCAGATGCAAGAAGTACTAGAAATGCAAAAACGATTCATTGATTCTTGTCAACGCGTACAACTCGATGACCCCACTCAAGTAGCAGATGTACTGGACAAATTAATCGACTCAGTTATCAATAAGTAAGTTGTGTTACAGATTAATTTATATACGAGTACATAGCATGTTCATTCGAAAAGTGGTTATGTTATTTCCATAAAAACAATGGGAATATTATACTTTTAATTATAAGTTGCTATTTTTTAGATCTGTATTCCTGTAAAAGAAGCGTAAACACCAACTATGCATACACACACTTTAATATATTATATGAAATGACTTGTACGATACATATAATTTCCCGGTAGATATAAAGCATTGTGGCATAATGTATGTAGGTACTTATGTTATCACTCGAGAGAAAGTACGATTTCCCCACATATGATCTACGAGTCATATGATCTGAAGCCCTCACCTTTGGGTTGGGCACGGCAGGCAAGGGTCGTACATCGTTTGGTAATCGGCTACTTTCTTCTGTCAGTGAACAATGTGTTACATGGATTTCTATGACATTAGCTTGTTATGAAGTTAAAAATATTTATATAAAAAGTAGATACGTTCACAACATCGTGTCATAACACCACCAACACTAAAAGTATAAGGTCAACTGCCCTAGTGAGCATAGGCAGTCAGAATTTTGAGTTTTCGTCGAGAAAATCTGTATCCCACATGGGCATTCTTGAATAAATTTGATTTAATGAACTAATAGCAAATTCTTTTTACAGGACTGCAGCGACATTCCATGAATTACAAAACATACAAGTCACAATGCGAAATCATAATTCAAAAGTTATCAAGTTACTCAGTACAGCTCGCCAAACACAGGTTCCTGTTTTTTGTATTTTAATTTACCTAAACAATATTAAATATGTTCACCACTGTAATCCCAGATGGGTAAGACTATTCTATTTTGGCGAACGTGATAGAGAGTATATTTTAATCTAACGTGGCAGCAATATCAGAGTTCGTTACCTTTCGAATCATAAATTGAATTAGTAATAATCATTGTTGTCTATCGGATAAAGGATAGCAAGCCATTGCCGAGTTGTTAGATTTGTACAAAGCACTTAGTCTGAAGACGCGACAGCATATTTTCATGCCTATAGAAAACAGGAAACTGTTACAACATTGATCTAAAAGGTTGTTTTTTAATTTATAGAAATTGACAAATTAAGATGATGGATGCAAAAATTTCTATGAGACTTTAAATAGGGCTCTACAAAGAGGTATTTAATAGTTTAGTTACTTTGTATAAAATAAAAATGTTCACGACTATAGTCCACAGTGGGGTAATTAGAGGCATTTTCAATTAGTAATTCTCTCATTAGCGTAGAAAAACGCGATAAAGATAAAACCGGTACATTTTTTGTTTACAGACCGACGCCACCTGCCGGCGACTGGAAAGTGTATTTCGTAACGCATCCCAAACAACTCTAAAGGAGAATGAATTGCAACAGTTAATTGAGAAATTCGTGGATTTGACAAATCGTGCGGACGCAGCACTGCAGCGTCTGGAGCGTCGCATGAGAGAGGACAATGACGAACCAGCCCCGCCGTCCGACGTCACTGCAGCAGCTGATAGGCTTCTGCTCAAACTTAAAGGAATCAAGTACGCGACTTAAATTTCAAATTAACGAATACACTTTTTATCTTTAAATCGATCGGTTTATCCGTAATTATTAATTTTAGCGAAATTTGTAAATGGGTAAAACTAAAAATTTTACATTTATTTATATAAAAGTAAAGAATATTTAAAACATCAAATGATATCATCTTTTGATATAATTTGATTGATTTTTTAAAATATTTTATGAATTTATTCTATTTACATTACAAGATAGAATATAGTTTTAATATAATTTGCTTGAGTAGTTAAGTCCCATTCGTGTTTCTACCGTGAAGCAGTTTTGTTAGGAGAGTGGGATATGGCAATGAATTTACAGGGTACAGAGGCATAACTCCTCTAGAAAGGCAACGCACGAGAGTGTTATGGGCAAAACAGTTTACTGTGTTATATCCATGGTATTGTTCATGTCTATAGGTTACAACTTTCCATCAGATGAGCCGGCAGCTTGTTTACCATTCTATGTTACATACAAAAAAAAAATAAGTCTGTATGTATGTGAATGTAGTCAGTTTCGGCAGTCAGCTGTACTTGATGAAATCGAATTGATAATTTTTTAGTGTGAATCATATTTAAATTTAATATACATTAAATAAATTACAGGGGCGAAAATGATTCTGATGAAGAAATGGATTGGGCGGAAGAGGACCAAGACAGTGGCTACTACGACGACGGAGGCGGTGGCGGCGATATAATGGATGAAGACAAGAAAATATTGAGTGGAGCAACTGGAGGGAAACAGATGGCCGACAGTGCTACAGCGCGTCCACTACATCGAAGGCATCTCCACAAACACCCATATGACCGTGGCCCAGGCTGGAGAGATGCGCCTATACCATAATATTAAATGTTTAATATAATATGTATAATATACGGTTTTATTTTATGTTAAGATTATACTTGTATACGATAGCAGTCTGAATATCTATATATAATGGGTATTTGCATAATACAGTGGTTAAACTATATGAGAATCTAATATCTTATTCTGGAGGGAAAGGGATTGTTAGTAATGGGATCCAACTGACCCATTGCTAGCAATGCATCCTATCAAGTCGACCTCCAGGAGATTCTCCCTGGAAACCATCGTAGTTAACTCTAGTGGAATTCGTCACGATGAGCTAACCTACTTTCATCTTCACCTATCATCCCACACTGGTGCCCCGTCAGCGTATACCGATAGCGCAGGAGGGGTGGCCATTTCATTATCACCCATTAAAAAAATTATTCTACATTAGTATTGCTATTCAATAGTTTATTGTATACTAGCGGCCCGTCCCGGCTTCGCACGGGTGGACATTTTTACAACATTTTACACTTTTTAACATAATATCTTTTGAATAGATGACCTATGATTTGAAAAATTCAAAAAGTAATCTGCAGGTATTTAAACAATTTTGAATACACAATTATTTGGATAAGGATTAATAAATAGGTATGAATAACATGTACAACAGGACAGCGATATTTTTTCTATTTCTATGACTTATTAAATTCGTAATATCTATTGAATGGAATAGCTGATTTGAACAATTCAAAAAGTAATCTACATAAATTGAAACAGTTTTGAAGACATTATGATTTATTTGGATAAGGATTTAAACAGAAGTATGAATAACATGGTGTAATTTTATTCGGTATTTCTATCAAATTTTAAAACGTTAAAAGTGGTTATTGTGACATAACGATAATAGTTTAACATATAGTATCGCGGAGTTTTATGTAGTTATTGACATTTTCTTCATTGTATTGTTGTAGCACATACTTTTTGTTCTATCACCAACAGTTTACGTAGCGCACACGACGAAAGATATTTTATAACATTTTTTACACCTTGAGTTGTTAGTAAAGTTTTGGTAAGAATCTCTTATCTTTTCTAGCAATAAATATAGTCTATGTTATTTAGGGTGAATGTAGCTTTCTAATGGTGAAAGAATTTTTTAAATAGGCAAAGTAGAATTTGAGTTTATTCATTACAAACATACGTACACACAAAAATACAAATCTTTCCTCTTTATAATATTAGTGTAGATAATAAGACACTGAAGTCAAAAGTAAAGAATGTCTTATTGGTGCTAAAGAAAAGAGGATAATAATTGTCAAACTCATATATACTCAACTTTATGTATATTATTTACTCAACTTGAGAGATGGAATAATTTTTAATTTGATAACATTTTTTCTAATTAGGATAAAAACAATCCTATGTCTCATGTTAAAGCAAAAAATACACACTTGCAATATTTCATTAAAATCGGTTGATCAGTTTCAAACCCAAGTGTGTACAAACATAGTGACATGCGGATTCTTATATACATATTAAGATAAATTACAATAACAGAAAAATTCTTTTATATTGGTAAGAAAATGAAAATAATGATAGGAGCTTGTTATTTCCATGAATCCTTTTTAAAACTTTTAAGTACTAATTTTGATCTCATTAAACTTTTTCACCTCAGGGTTCACCATCATCATCATATCAGCCTTTTAACTGTCGTCTGCTAAATATAAGCCCCTTTTTGGGGGGGTTTGCAAGTAGTTGCCATGCTTGACAGGCAGATTGGCAACTGCAGTTAGGTGTTAGAGATGTTTTAACAGGAACGCTGCTGCCCATCCCTCACCCTCTCTTTGTCGGTTCTTACGACACTCACATGAAAGGGGTGGCCTATTCTATGCCAGGTCCACACTTCTATATACATGCATATGATAAACGGCATTTTTCCATTTTTAGGTACATATTTTAAAACCTGCCTCACTGGACTAATGACTAACTTATTGATGGATGGATGATGCCCCATTTTTTTTAGGTTACATTTGAGAACTCAATTTTAGAGATATCAATTCAGGGTACTTAGGGTTCATGCACTTTCACAACTTTATCCATCACATACATGGTTCAAGAGACTCTTCTATCTCAGACGAGATACAAACTGATACTAAAAAAATACTAAATTAATTATATACATATAAAAATATTTGGCATACCTCTAGTTTTGCACTGTTCTGAAATATAGTAAGGGCCTTGTGTGTCAGTTGTGCAAAGCATGAGCTCAGTGTAGCAATCTTCTGGCGGGCTGAGAATACCACCTCTGGTTCTTCAGTTTCTAATTCCGCTGAAATTGATATTTTTTTATTTTTAATTTAAAATATTTAGATTCATGCTCTTTGGATATATAATCACTATCTCTGCGGTGTAAAGGTAGACAAATTGCTTGACATATTGAGGTACCAGATTCAATTCTCAGTCAGGTTCACTTAGAAAAAAAAATTTTGTAAACCTCCCCAGGCCTGGGTATACTGGATTATCATTACACCTAGATAATATTGACTAGTTCCACATAATACAGGGTATCCTAGCTTGAGGATCAGATAATAAGATTGTATGGCACTTATAAAAAATATAGAAAGTTTTATGTGATTATTGAATAATAACAATTTAGAGTAACATTATTTATTAACCTTATTGTATAAAAGTTTGCTATTTGTTTATTAATATCATTGCTCATTGCTATTTTCCCTAATAATGATCAATAAATGAGACATGTGTAACATATATATACATATAAGATAATATATGTTACATAACAAATGTATCATCTCGATCTACCCTGTATGTCTGTATAAGGTTTGGGTTGTAAGGATAAATACAGGATGACTGATTTTCTGAATAACAACATATTATTCTTATTATTGGAATTGTAGTATTACATAATGAAGAATTAATATAGATATTAAAATAAAAATTTCTATACTTCAATAAAATGTTGTCTTATAAGATAGCCATTCATATTTTATTGTGAATATGGCTTAATATTGTACAATTTAGTTACACAAATCATAACACAATAACATAAAATAGTAATTTAGAACACAGACTACATGCTTGTATTTTAATATTGAGTCTGGTATTTGGACAATATGAAGAATATTGATAGATGGGATAAAAATAATTTGTCTTTCTCATTCCACAACCTAATAGGGTGTTAAATTGCCAAGAGGTAAGAAACATACACACACACACTGATATGTTAGTAAGAATTGCAAGACCTATTACACCTCACATAAACAATTTATTTAATAAAAAGTACTAAGTTTTAATTTAAAGGATAAACAGAATACAAACTATAATTATTAATAGACAATGTTAATATGATATTTTTAACAATAATTTATAGAATGTGTGATGACAGACTTGATGGAGGTGGATTGTTTTTACATTTGGTAAATATAATCTTTATCTCAAAGCTGTGAGCACCTAGAATATATTAAGGGGCAATAGTCAAATTAAACATAGTACAATGCATAATAAGTATAGTACCATGCACATTTTTAATCCATGAAGTGAACTTTGCAAGTCACAAGTAGGATACCAATTTAGAAGAAAATAAGTATCTACTAATATCAAAAGTAGAATATATGCAGCAGAAATTATTTTTTTATATAATTTAGAAAATAAATAACGCTGTAATCCTAATATATTTAAAGAAAAAACACTTTTAATACGACAACACTGCTGGTCCAATAAAATCCAAAAATACGTTAAATACGGAAAAATCTTTTGACCATATGATATGTAAAATTATGATACTTACACAGAGACGTGTCTAATTCGACACATGCTTTATCAAATTCCTTTTCTAATATATCTAACCACCGAAAACCAACTCCGGTAGTCGCCATTTTCACAATAAAACTTGTTGACATTATTTGACAGTAAACATCATTATGTCAAAAAAATGACAATTTAAAAGTTGCTTGACATAATATGACAGTCCTGAGAAGACTTTATTGAGTCTGTAGACGATCCGACTACTAGAGTGTGCTTAACATTCACGTTTAGGTGCTTGTGGAATAATAAATAACCTGAACTATACACAATGAAAGGTGCAGTAATTATAAAAAGAAGATTTATGTGCTACCCTTAGCCTATATGGCGCCTAGGCAAATTTTTAACACCCATCTTACAATAAAATATAAAACTAAGCTATATTTCCCTTAAGTAATAAATTCAAAAATTTTGATGAATGAGAAATCAGTTTATTGAATTTGATTCAATCAATTGAAAGCTGCTGATCCTACGGTGATAGGTAGGTATGGTGACGACAAACTACGTCCTAAACAAAAATCAATATAGAAAAAATGCTTACGACTATAACAGCTAAAAAGGGTAGCCCGTCATAATAGTATAAATATAGGCCACAAACCACAACGCCGATTGTTTTTTATGAGTGAAAAGTTAACCCCTATTGTGTTATTAGTAACAGTGAGAGATAATAGTTAAAGATGAAAGCTGGAAGTTGGTGCTTCGTGATAAATAAGAATTGACCTGTATGGTTTCCAAGAACTGCGTAGAGCTCAACCCAATAGGGTATATTGCTAGTAATAAGACTGCTAGAACCCATTGCTAACAATCTCTTTCCATCTTGCTTCTTGTTCTTACAATAAAAAGAATATAATAAAAAATACATATATGCAATACAGCAGTATTTATTTTTAATATAGTAAAGACAGAAATTTACAGTTTTGAAGTAAATTTATTTACAAAATTGAAGGAGTGAAGGTTGTTTATTAAAGATTCATCATCTAAAATAAATATTATTTCACTGAGTTGCAAAAGCACAAAATTAGTATAATAACATGATTACACTGTGCACTTAAATCACACAAATACCGTATATACAACATATACACAAAAATAAATGTAAGTAGATAATTACAGATAATATTAACAAAAGCTGAAAATGACAAGTATTCACATAAAAATTAAGAAATAGTTTCATGGATTTAATAAGTGACAGAAAAGATAGAAAAAACATAGTTTGTGAGATCTGTCTTAATATTCTATTTAGGCCAGTATTATATCTATTGATGGAGAGCATTTCATTTACAAGTAGCATTAAGCTATGCATTCATATAATAGACATTAAACAATTGAGCCACCATATGTAACCTAAGATACGGAGCAATGAGGGATTTATACATTTGCCAATAGGCCGTTCAAAGTTAGCCACTCTTACTGACCTCAACAATTTTTTTTATCAATGAAATTGTTACTATGAATTGTAAAAAAAAAAAAATGATCGCCAAATTTGCCATCCTAGGTTCCACTCTACTACTAAATCTGCCAATAATGTGGAGCGATTACACACAAATTATTTACCAAAGTCTATCAATTTATTCCCTTTGTCCATAGGTTGTAATAAAAAGGACATTCGTCATATAAAAGAATTTTAAAATGAATAAAGCGTTTTATAAATAAAACTTTCGCTATAGATACATATTCTAAAATTATAGTATTATTACAAAAGAAAAATACCCGTAACTACATAATTAAAATATTTGGTACACAGTATATATAATAGGTAAGAATAAAACATAAGAAATAGGTAGTAATATTATTCATACATGACGATACATATGATGTGGCGACATACTAATAAAATTAATCTAAATGTCACAGTTTTTACATAGTCTAGGAGTCCAAAACAAAACCTTGAAATTGTTAATTGATAAAATTTTATCAAAATCTTATATATTTATCTAATATTTAAATAAGTAGCTGCATTTACAATTGAGAATAATATTATTATCAGTCTCAATTGTCGGCCAATCTTAAAACTATTAAACTGCTGTCAATTGCTTAATTTTACGTGAAAAATAATTTCCAATTCACAATAGGCTATTAAACTCTCCATAGGAAATAGTTTATAATTTTTCTGCAACTTTGAAAACACACTTTTCCAGTTAAAACAAAATTGGTTTTATTTTCTGAAATAAGCATTAACGAAAACAAAACTGAAGTAAGTACTATTATCGAATCTATGTTATGTGGCCTCATATAGTATTACTTATTGTTTATTGATTTGTATGATCATAAATTGATTTTGACTCTTGTAAAATGATATAAAATTTGACCCTATGTCAGATGTATTTCATCACACTGACTGTGCATAGAGTTTTTTTTTTTTTTTATTAAAGACGAAGTATTTCTTTATCAATAACATTCCATAAAAAGTATTCCTGTAGAGTCTACTAACTCTATTAAAGTATCATACAAAATTATTTCCTATTAGTAGTCTAATATCCTATCGTGTAACTACAAATTAAGATACCTACTAATGCACGGCGGCATTGAACAATGGCATAACATCAATAAAAATAATATTTTTTCAAAAACACTCACTATACTTAGACTAAATGCAACATTTAATTAATTATGTATCCCATCTTAAAACAATAAACATAACTTATCTATAAATAAATGTACAAATTTATACATTTTATACAATTGATAGCATTAGTGTTTATACTAAAGACATCATTTTTTATTAATATGGCTAAATTAATGAGGAATATTTGATCATAAGTAATGACTGTGTTCGTCACAAACTTATTATTATTGTAAAATCAAACTCCATACAAATAATTTTCTAAGATTTTTTCTTAAATAAGCAACCGAGTGCAATCGTGACAAAACGTAATGGGACCAAGACGGGAGTGAACTCTATCGATTGCAAAAATCTGTCCAGTCGCGAAATATACACACAAAAAATATTGTTCAATTGAGAAAATATTATAAAATATATCAAACAGTCCCTTAAAAACAATAGCAATAACAAAAAACAATCTACTACTTTTGAACTAAATAAGTTTACGTAATTGTAGTAAGACATTTTTCAAATGATCCAGACATATTTAACGTCAATATTATTTATCCGTAATAAAGATAATAAGTTGCCGTTAAGAAATGAGAAATTAAAGCCTTGCAAGTCCCGATAAAAATCTAATATTACTTGAAATTCACAGTTAACTATATCAGAAGTTACTAGTCACAGTACGACACGAGGTATGTGGTGACTAACACAGTTACAGTGACTGATTAGCACACAAGATTTTTTTATGAAATGTGTCATTAAGTCCACTAAATTTAAATGACGGCATTAATGTGCAAAGCATTGATGCTGAAAACATGCACGTGTAGATGAAATCCATACTTCAGAACAAACAATTAATTCTAGCTATCTAGTATCATATCGATTCCAGGATATCCAGGAGATACAAGTGCATCATGCGAATTCCTTCATCTATACTTGACTATACCCAAACTTAAGGCAGTAACTTCATTTAATTCTTACATAATACCCTCAGTTAAGTGAAGCCTGATAATAACCAGGTACATAGTCCATCTAGAATCACCATTTTAGCCCTAGGCTTCCGCTCAAAACTAAGAGCTATATCACTATTCTTTTTTCTTAACACATACATTAATCACACTTCATGTACCATTCTTATAAAATGTGGCGGGCATTTCTAGCACCTTTGGTTTTACAGAAGTTACTAGTTCAAAATGTAGTCTCGCTTTTGCACCATCTAATTCTTTCTTACTTAAACAGAGAACAAACTTTTCCTACATAATATAACGTGAATTATGCCCTAAAGCCAACGCAGACGAGGGAGAGTCAGGTTCTTTCGCCACACAAGACAGTAGTACCTTGACTTACACGAATCTAGATTTAGACGATTTTCAAATCTCATTGATGGATTGTTTAAATACCATATAACTCCGACTGTTCTGACACAAATTTTCAGCTAATGTGCATAGGAGCTCACAGAAATGCGCCAGCAATTATACCCTGACATAAACAAATTCGACTTAAGCGGTTATCACTAAGTCCTACTTATTGCAGAAGGTCAGGATATTATTGTATTTTTAATTGCTTTTGTGCGTTACACTATACAATAAGTATTTTATATTCTTGTACAAAAAACTGCCTTCTAGGACTGTTCAGTTTTCAAAAGTCTTTAAACTGATCTCATCTGACATTTACAAAATGTATATTTCAGTTAAAAAAAAAAAACAAAACTTTCATCATAACCAATTAAAAATAAGTTAAATTATTAAAAATAAATATATTATTTACTCTGTTTTAAATTTCTTTTGAGTATTTGGATTGAAATTCTGAAAGTGAAATAAAATCTGATACTATAAAAATATTTGAGGTGTACTTACAAAATATCAATATATAAATCTGAATATCCTTTCAGTAACAGAACATTAATAACTACTAATATTTACTGTTAGTCTGTTATCAATATCTTTTTCATTAAATTATTTATAACAGCAAAGAAAGCAAATTTAGAAGAATTGACAATATTTTCACTTTTCATATGCGCTAAATCCATTGGCGCAACCAGAATCGCGGGGAGTAAACAAGGAATAACAAAATGGCTGTAGATGTTATGGAGTAATAAAATGTTTGATATTAGAAAGAAAATATTTAGCTCAAAGAATTTTTAATGTAATTTTTGATTTGGGAGAACACCCACATTGCACTAAGAGAAGTAGAGAAAGGGAAAATTATGCTTCCCAAATGTACCTTTACTGTCCACCTATCTCTGCTTAGCTATAAGCTATAAATAACCTAAGTTAAAACAGTAAAATACCGAAGCCATTATCACTGCTTATTATAGTGGTACATACAGAAAGTAAATGATCATTTAATACTATTGCATATTTTGTTACCTGGTGAAAAAAATTTATTGTAAAAGGTATTAATTATTGTGAAAATTTCATAATTTGGGCACTTTGGCAATATCCATCAAATATATTAAATTATGTTAAAATAACTAAAATAAATTATAAATATACATTTCTGTTTTTAATGGCTCTTATTATTTTCAAAATAAGATTCATATTTTTCTTTTTTGAAGTGAACAATTAAGAGAACTACTATGTACAAAACAGTTTAAACATATGGCCAAACAAGATTTTATAAAGTTTTGCTGCAATTGTAATGGAACAAATAACTTTAAAACCATAGCATGTAATTTTAATACCCGCTTAAGAGTTATATTAAGTTTATTAAGTATTCTTCAAGCACAGCTTTCCACAATTTATACAAATTTTGTAAATAACTAGAATTTGAACACAAGTGTGTTTTCTTGTAAGATTTCAGAGAATAGTGTTAGGTATAATGTTCCAAGAGAGTTCTTGATATTAATACCCAAAAGGATTCCCCAAAAATCAGATTGAACACTTGAAATTCTTTTGACTATTTAAATGCTCACTTTGTGACATGTTACATTACAAAAAATGTAAGTCTATCAACAAAAACGCAGTCATTACATTCAGCATTAATTAACCTGTCAACATTGATATTACACCATAAATAGCTGTGAATATGCATATATTAAATCTATTTCACTTCAACTTATAAAGAACATACTTTGGTGAGATATGCATTAAGAAACAACACATCCATTTTTCTCTGGCATATGTCCGTCTGACCTCTCTATCTCTGATAGTATAGCATGGAACATGTCTGTGACTGACTGGAATGATAAATAAATATAAATTAATTATATATTTCTTCAACATTAAAAAACCTTTATGATACAAAGGCAAGCAAGCAATTACATAAATAAGGTGGCAGATTTTTCAGATATATTTAAGAAATATTTTTTTCTGTATTTGCTCAGATATAGGTATTTTTTTAATTACTTTGATTGGCAAATAAAGTGGCAATCCATAAAATAGGATAGTGGTGACCATTACTTGTTAACATGAAAGCTATATCATGTATTGCCATTTCTGAGAATTAAGGTAGTAGTAGTAGTGTAGAAATGAATTATTTCTACAATACCCTAATAATTCATATGCCTGATAATTACATATTTATGGAAATAGTGCTTGAGGTAAAATATGATAGAATAATAATTTTCTAAATTAAATTATGACTCATATTTCCATAACTACATATAATGGATCACAGGTTGATATAACAATATTAAAAAAAACTTAAATTTTGCAAGCTTTTAAATGTTTATAGCTGCCATATTTATTTTACAACATTGCCATGTAGTTTAGAGCATCTTTACAAATAAAAAGACTTTGTTAAAAATCTGATAAGTCATTAAATCTACTTGTTGTGCACAAAAATTTAAGCATACTCAAGGAATACTGAGCCCATTTGTCAAATACAGAATATAGTTTTTAAACGATCTGAAATATTACCTCATTACGTTTAGCACTAGTCTCAACAAAGGCTGCTTTCCACTTCTCTGCAAGTCTTTTTCCCTCTTCAGTACTAATTTTCCTTTCTAAATGGAGATCTGTTTTGTTACCGACTAAAACTATAGGTACACTGAAAACAAAATTAGAATATGGTTTGAAAAGTGGATATAAAGTTTTTTATGTAACCAGAATAACAAACAAGCTAATGATCAAACTTATGGAAATTGATTCGAGTCTTAATTAATCAGCACATTTCATTATATCAGAAAAGATAATGACGGTCTCAATATTAGTCATTAGAATTGTTTGTCAATTTGATTAATAAGTACTTGACAAATAAGTCTATAACTTTAAATATCCATAACAATCCATTAAAATGCCATTATTAGGCACAGGACTCTTAGACTCAAAATGAGATGACTACAGACTGACAGCTTTACAATGTTTTCTTTATTAATATAGAAGAAACATTGTAAAACAATCTATTATATCTATAATATAATGTGTAATATGAATATCTATTATTATGTATACAATAGAATTCACATGTCTAAACACAAAACACCTGAAATTAAATAGTTCTATAAATGAATATTCTAAAGTCATCATCACCATACATGACAACTCCTATCATGTGAATCTGTAATGAACACCCACTGCTGAGCTTAGATAATTTCCTACAAAAAAAATGTCTTCAATTACCCCTTTGGAAGCTCAGTAGACATATGCTTTAATTTTCTTTCTCTTGCACTGAAATACTACTATGGTTTATTCTCTTTTTAACAATCTTATTAGGATGTAGTGATGTTATACCATATTCTCACTACATTATCACATTAAACTTATCATCATTATGGGAGCAAATTTTATATTGAACATTCAAGTCAAGGAAAACTATTTGATAATATAAATTTGAAAATATCTACTTTTTACTTACTGTATTTTTCCCACCATATCAAGCAATTTATCATAAATAATTTGTACTATTTGAAAACTTTTACTTGAAGTTATAGAGTATACTAGTACATAACCGTGAAAATCCATACTATATTGAAGCGGAAATATACTGTATTCATCTTGGCCTGCAGTGTCCACTAATTTGACTTCATACTCAGTAGAATTCAGTCGAATAAACTTCGTGAATGCTAAAAAATATTAAATTGAGAATATAAAGTTTAACAAAATTGTAGGGGAGCACATAAATATAATAAAACCCCATTCACAAGTTACTGATATATTAAAATTGTAATTAGACTATGTCTATATAGAAGATATTTAGAAAAATTAATATGAGGAATTTTAATAAGACCAATAAACGCCAAAATTAATAATTTTCGTTTAATTTTATTTGTCTATCTGTACGTTTGTAGTGACATTATGCAAAGACAACTCCATTAAATTGGATGCTGTTTTCACAGCTGTATTCCTAAAGGTCTTATTTAAAAACTGGTGTACGTTTTATCTTGATAGATTTCATCTAGAAATGGTCTATTTAATTAATTTTCCTGTCTCTGATATCCACGCGTACGGAATAGCGGGTAAAATACTAATTATAAATATAATTCAAAAAACAAATGTAAGGGTAATTATTTGGTAACAAAATTATATAAAAGTAACACCTACTATTTTCAATCGTTGGATCGTAAGAATCGACGAACTGCCCTTCTACAAACTGTATAATTAAAGAAGATTTACCTGAAAACATAACAAATTTGAGAAAAAAACGTCACTAACACTAAGACGCACAAGAATATATGACCTATGTTGTTATTACCAACAGATCTATAACCCATCATAGCAATTTTTCTCTGTTTAGATGGCATTTTAATGCTAATAAAACCTATATATATTATAAAAAATGTTGTAATCTCTTTTAAATTAAATAAGAAACAAATCACAAAACCATAAAATTCTAATCAAATCAGACCTCATTTTTTAATTCCACAGATATCTATTCTATGTTTATTTCTGATTCGTATCCACAGATTAATTACCGTCAGTTGGATTGGCTTCCGTGATTCTTTTATCTATTTATATTACAGAAAATATTATATGAAAATGGTCATTTATTCGCAACGCATTAAACTAAATTATGAATGATTATAATTTTAAAATAATTTTATTAAAAGAAACTATAATTAAAAGAAATTAACATCCTAATTTTAAATCAAGTTTAAAAGTCTTTTATTGTTAATTATCGTAATACACTGTCCTTTAGCCATTACTTTTTCTTTTCATAATGTTCTAAATATCGCAGGTAGTAATTAAGAAGAGAATGCACCAAATTTTATTCTTAGTCTATGTATACATAGAAATATATTTGGAAACATACAAGAAATGATAATGTGGAAAAGCGCGGGAAACGTTTAAAAAAGCGGGAGTGTTTTTTGATCTTCTTTAATTTTATTTTTAATTATATAAGGATTAGTTTTATTTATATATTGTGTATTAGATTGTATATATAATTGTATATTTTGTAGTAATAGTGTTTGTTGCTGTAAATATTGGTAAGTAAATTACCTATATTAATTAGACATTATGGATCCACCTATAGACCCTGGGGGGACAACCCCCCAGGTGTCTGCAAATATAACTATCCCATTTAATAATAGTTTTGATATATTGGGTGAATCTAGTATGGACACAGATGGTTCTAGCGTTGCAAGTTCTAAACGTAAGCGAGTACGTGGCGAACGTCGCATTTGCAAACATTGCAATAAAAAACGAAGGAGGCACACCAAAGGTCTCGAATCTAAAATTAAAGATAGTGATTGTCAATGTATTGAGGATGAGAATCAAACTCTAGTATCAATACCAGTTGTAAATAATACCGAGTCTGTTAAACCTGCTTCTCCACCCAGTACTTTAAGCAGAACTTTGTACAATGCCGAGGATGTAGCTCCTTATGTCGTTCATGTACAAAAAAATGAAACACATCCTAATGATAACACTACATTACATCCTATTGCATTTGGTCGCTTTTTACACACTAATAAGATAAATAATATAGTGAATGGTAGCCTCAAAAGAATAGGAAGAAACCGTTTATCGCTTTCTTTCTCAAATTTTGAAAATGCAAATGCATTTTTAAATAATAGTCACTTAGAAACACATAATTTTAAGGCATTTATACCTTCTTTCCATGTAACCCGTATGGGAATTGTGAGGGGTATTCCTAAAGATTGGACAGAAGAGGAAGTAATCCAAAATATATCAGTACCTATAGGTTGTGGGAGAATTCTAAAAACCAGAAGAATTAAGAAAAAGACCATTAATGAAGGACAACCAAGTTTTATTAATACTGAAACCATTGTTATTACTTTTGATGGACAAATATTACCAAAAAGAGTATTTATGTTTTACACATCATTAACTGTAGATTTGTACATTTACCCCACTATCCAATGCTATAACTGCTGTAGGTTCGGACATGTCAAGATGCAGTGTCGTTCAAATCCTCGGTGTTATAAATGCAGGCAAAATCATACAGGTGATAAATGTGAAGTAGATGAGGAAAATGTTTCTTGTATCTTGTGTAATGGTTCTCATTCAGCAATTAGTAAGAAATGTCCTGAATATGCACGTCAGAAAGCCATTAAAGAAACAATGGCCCACAGTTGTGTTTCTTATGCTGAAGCATCAAAATTTCATCCTCCCACTTCTAAACTATATTCAGATGTATTAACATCATCATCTCCGTCCAATAAATCTCATTTTCAATCTTCTTTCCTCAAAGAGAAATCATCATTACCACATATTCAATCATCACATAAAAAAACAGTTACACTTAAACCACGCTCTCCTCAAAAAGCACAACAAGGATATGATCGTTCTGCCCATGAAGCCATAGTTAAGGAATATAATATTCCTGCTCCCTCTAATGGTTGTGCATTATCATCAAATAATATTGACAATAATCAATCCATCTTTGATATTATTCTCATGCTTATTAAAGTGTTATCGCAATCGAAAATGATACAAACAACTTTACCACCGTCCAACGATGCCATTTACAATGTATTTTCTCAATTATTAACTTCTCACAATGGATTACAAAGTCCTAATAATTCAGTGGAACTGTCGTAGCATAACAAACAAGAAATCAGACTTATTTTATTTGATTAATAAATATAATCCTTTTTTAATAGCTCTACAAGAGACTTGGTTAAAGCCAGGATATCCTTTTAGGATTTCAGGCTTTACAAGTCTCCGTGATGATAGAGCTGACGGATATGGCGGTGTTGCCATATTGGTCAAAACCTCCCTTCCTTTTTCTTCTTTTTCGCTTCCTGTATATAGCGGCATTAATGCAGCTGCTATAATTATAAATGGTATCTGTTTTGTTACTTTATATATTCCTGATCCTACATGCCAAATATATTCACAACTAGAACAATTATTTTCAATTTTACCTAAACCTTTTCTCGTAATGGGCGATTTTAATGCTCAACACCAATCGTGGGGCAGTTCTACTTCTAATTTTTATGGTGGAAAACTCCTGACGATAATTGACACTTACAACTTATGTATTATTAACTCAGATGTACCAACACGTAGAACTGCACCGAATGAAGGGTTTAGTGCTCCTGACATTTCAATATGTTCTTCTGATTTAGCTTCTTCACTGTCGTGGTATCCTCATTCCTCTACTTTCGGAAGCGATCACTTTCCCCTCATTCTTTCTTTTCCAATTTCCATTCCCTCAAGTCGAAAGAGTGGTCCTCGGCTTAAATATAATTTATCAAATGTAGACTGGAATATTTACAAACAATATTTAGATAATAAAATATCGGAGTTACCTATTGTTTACCATGGAAATGAACATCAATGTTGTAATGACTTGATGATAAATATGAAGGAGGTTGCTGATTTATTATTTCCTGTTAAAAATAGTGCTTCAGAGAAAATTCCCTCGCCACCTTGGTGGGACAAAGATTGTACGGAAGCAATTAAAAATCGTAAAGAGGCTGAAAAAAATTATAATAATTACATGACACCAGAAAATTTTGAAATTTACACCGCAGTTTCACGTTCTACTCGAAAACTACTGAAAAAAAGAAATTAGAAGGCTGGAGAAGATTTTGTTCTTCTATCTGTCCAGAAGTTAATTCATCAGTCGTTTGGAATAATATTAAAAGATTCAGATCTGCCTTTAGTGATCATACATCACGTTCTGCACTCGATTTAACTTTAGCGAATAAATTTTTAGATCGTCTTGCTCCTAGTTATGTGCCGGAATGCCTTTACAATATTTCTCTATCCGTCTCTGACGAATTATTCGAACTTGACTCTCCTTTTACTCTAGTAGAACTTAAAGGTGTTCTAGCTTCTATTAAAGACTCTGCACCGGGAGAAGACGGTATACCGTATTCCTTTTTTAAAAATGCTAGCGATGCGACATTAATTTACTTTTTAAATATAATTAATTCCATAATTATTTCGGGAAATATACCTACTTCATGGAAGTCTCAGATTATTATACCATTTCTAAAGCCTCATAAACCACCTTCTGAACCATCTTCATACCGTCCTGTTGCACTTTCCTCTGTCTTACTAAAGCTAGCTGAACATTTAGTGAAAAACCGTCTAGAATGGTTTTTAGAAAGTAATAACTTACTATCCCCGAACCAGTTTGGTTTTAGGAAAGGTAAGAGCACCTTAGATAATGTGAGCATTCTTATTTCAGATATTCATATAGCTTTCTCACAAAATTTGTCAATCCTCTCAGCCTTTTTAGATATAAATTCTGCCTATGATAATGTAATAATTTCTATTTTAAAAACTAAATTACAAGCTCTAAATGTACCGGTAATGCTTTCTAATTTCATTATTAATATTTTATCAGAAAGAACAATATATATGAATTTAGATGAAGATACCAAATTATCTAGAACAGTATGGAAAGGCCTTCCACAAGGATCTGTTCTCAGTCCAATCTTATTTAACATATACACATACGATCTAGAATTATTCCTTGATAAATCCGTCAAAATTTTACAATATGCTGATGATCTTTTATTATATTTTATTGCGAAGTCCATAGAATCTGCTTCTGCCAAATTATCTGATTCATTAGATTTGTTAAAAACGTGGTTAGATGCAAATGGTCTTAATCTTTCTGTAACCAAGAGTAGTGTAGTTTTGTTTTCAAGAATGAGATCACCGCAACAAATTAAGGTGCTTTATGATAACTCATACATTCCTATAAAGACTGAAATTAAATTTTTAGGTATCGTGCTAGATAATAAATTAACAGGTCTGTCCCACTGTAATTATATTTCTACGAAATGTGAGCGTAACCTCAACATTCTTAGGTGCCTTGCTGGAGTTTGGTGGGGAGCACATCCCGTTTCACTAAAACTTGCTTATAATGGTCTTATAAGGAGTGTCATTGATTATGGAACTTTTTTGTTAGCTCCAGGAAGTTCATTTGCTTTTAAGAAATTGGATTTAATTCAATCAAAGGCCTTGAGGATTATCTCTGGAGCAATGAAATCAAGTCCAATCAATGCTTTACAGCTCGAAGTCGGTGATCCACCTTTGGTTTAAGAAGACAATATCTATCTGATCGCTTCTTTTTTCGTTGTTTACAATTATCTGATCATCCGCTTATTCAAAAGTTATCTCAACTACATATCTTTATTTCGTCTTCATCTTATTGGAAACATAAAAAACCTCCATGTTTAATACAAAGTTATGAAAAATATAAATCCATAGAATCTCCCACTTTTACATCGTCCTGTTTTCCCATTTATAAATGCTCATATCAATCTTTAGTTTTATCTCCTAATATTAAATATGATTTTGGGTTATTAAAAAATGATTCAGAATTGAATGCCAAATTTATGTTTATAACTGACATTGAATGGAATGAATGGCACTACATCTTTACTGATGCATCAAAATCAGACAATAGCGGTTGTGTAGGTGTGGGTGTGTTTCATTCACAATTTAATATCGTTCAAAAAATTAAACTTCCACCGGAGTCTTCAGTTTTTACCGGGGAATGTTATGGTATTTTAAAAGCTGTAGAATATATACTTTTAATGAAATTACATAAGGCAATAGTTTTCACTGACTCTATGAGCTCTTTGCAAGCTCTAGCCAAATATCCGTTTAAATCAAAACCAGTTTATCCCATTATTTGTGACATAAGACAAAGTCTTTATCTTTGCATGTTGAGAGGTTATTCCGTTTCTTTTGCCTGGTTACCAGGACACAGTGGTATTAGCGGCAATGACAAAGCTGACCTTATTGCAAGAGAGGCTGTAACTTGTGGTGATATGTATCCGTATCATAATTACTGTAGTGACCTAGCTTGTCTCCCAAAATATATTTAAGGTATGCCTGGAAGGAATATTGGGAAAAAACAAGTACAATAAAAGGAAGATTTTATCGCCTTATACAACCCGATATTCCTTTCAAACCATGGTTTTGTAAATTAAAGCTTGGAAAGACCGCAACAACTATTATAACTCGTATGCGTCTAGGTCACGTATGCACACCTTCTCATTTATACAAGCTTGGTATTGTACAAAGTTCGTCGTGTAATTGCGGTGCTGAAGTGGCGGACTTGAATCATATATTCTTCTCATGTTCTAAATTTGACCACACCTCCCTTTTTAATCATCTCCGATCCATCCGTGTTCCACTCCCAACTTCTATTCTTACTCTACTTTCTTCCAATGATCCTATTATCTATAAAATACTATCTTCATATATATATGATAACAATATTAAGATTTAGTTATATTACATGAATACATTTATAGTTGCATCAATTGCTTTTCCTATATATTTATAAGTATATTCTCATATGTACAAGTATATGTTTCATATCCTATAAATATCCTAGACCTAATCCTTATCCTTTCTAAATTCGTTTGTGTTAGGTATTTTTATTACTATTATCGTTTCCCCGTTTTGTTCTTGGCAAAATACCCTAATATCGGGGTGAACGCCACAAAAAAAGAAAAAAAAAAAAAATGATAATGTCAATGTCAATTAGACATTATTGGTCAGCTATAAACAATTTCGACATCATCATTTAGTGAATCAGTTTTTTCCTGAATAAATTAAAACGTATTTAAATCATATAAGCCATATTATTTGTTGTAATACCGTATTATTTATTATATGTTGGCTCCTTTAGTTAAAGATTTCCATAATACTCTCTTATTTGTGTCGTACATAGTAATTTTTACTTACCAGATCTTTGTGTTTTTAATTCATTGTCAATTTAAATTTCTTGGTCGATTGATGTTTACTTAATATAGTGTTTAAAGTGAACAGTTTAAATTTACAAAATAATGTCCACCGAAATACCTGAATGTCCGCCGAGCTTGAAATCAATTCAACACTATTTAAAGACTGCAGCTGAACATGATACGAGAGATCCAGTTGTTGCATATTGGTGCAGACTACATGCCTTACAAGTTGGCCTAAAATTAACTTCTAAAAAGACTCCAGAGGAGACTAAAGTTCTAATGGGTAAGTATATAATTATGTAGTATTGGTTTAGATAGGTATTTCTAATAAATCTAAATGTGAGAAAAATACTTTTCAGAATATTGCAATAGATTATATCTTGTATTTGTTTTCAATGTTATGATATGGCATGTTCTTATAATAGTAATCTAAATTGTTATATACATGGTGGCAAGTATTGGTTGGCCAAAACAAAAACAGCTGATTCAGATGGTCTGAATCAGATGGTAAATTATTTACTCACCAGAAATGCACCACAGCCATATATTTAAAGGTTCTTAGTTTTGATGCCTTACAGTTTATTTGAAATTTTACAATCTAAATGACACATGATACCTACAACATGCTTCATAGGTATTTTTAATATGCTTGTGGCATTCACCCCACACAGCTGATTCTGTGCAATGCGGTAATATTTAAACATGTATTACAATGCTGTGTTTTGGTATGTCAAAATATTTTACTATAAAATATTATTCTTTCTTCATTTTATGCTGTAGTCATAGATTACATCATTTTAAATGAAAAAAAGACAAAAAAAATTGAAATTTTCTAGAAATAATTTTCACTGGTTTTCAGTTTAGAATAAGAAACTAAAATTAAATTAATAAACATTGAGAATCATATTGTTCATACTAATAAAAATAGGGTTAATTTGCAATAAAACTTGTTCCTTTCCATGCGACATGATATATTACTTATAATAATAATAATAATCTTTATTTACTACTTATATCAAAATACTAATTTAAAAAATTTTTAGCACTTATGGATTGGTTAGAAGAAGCTAAGAAAACAAACAAGGATAATGAAGCTATTAGTAATGAAGTAGCAGCTCAAGCTCATCTTGAGAACTATGCTCTGAAATTATTTATGTATGCTGACAAACAAGACAGGGAGCAAAACTATGGCAAGTATGTACCCATATATTGATAGAATACTTTATTAATCATACATTTTTATATTATTTTTATTTCTAAATGATCTCTCTCTCTCTCTCTTACATTGTAATAACACCATAATGCACAGAAATAATTTCCTGGTCAATTTAATTCAAATAATTTGCTATGATATCAAATCTATAAATGTATCATGAAAATAATAACCTAATATAAACATATTGTGCAAAAACCAAGTATATTATTATTTATTTATATGAAAATCAAAATCAGAGGAAAAATAAACTCCATTAATTATCTTTCTACCTATCTTGTAAGAGGCATAGCATCAAAAAAAAAATCAAATCTAAATCATATTACATATAAAAATCACCTTAATCTCTGAATCTGGTCTAATCTGATTATAATAAAGTTTTCTAAATGTACATTGTTTACTCATATTTTAGAAATATGATAGATTTTCTTCTGAAAAAATGGGCCTGGTACATAGCAAAGATATGTTTGCTAGATCAGCTTTTCAATTTTATAATTTATTAATGTTAATATTATTTATTGCAGAAATGTTGTGAAAGCTTTCTATACAGCTGGAATGATATATGATGTTCTTACCACATTTGGAGAGCTAACAGATGAAGCAACACAGAACAGGAAGTACGCTAAATGGAAGGCTGCTTACATTCACAATTGCCTAAAGAACGGAGAAACTCCTGTTCCAGGTAGTGTATTTACAATATTCACTTATGTATCATATATTCTATATATATACATAAGTGAATATGTATATCTATATATGTATATATACAATTTCAAAAAAAGGAAAAGGTTCTTAATTTGGTTGTATTTATTTTTATCTTATAAAAATTTCATCACAATTGGTTCAGTAGTAATAATTAATAATAAAAATAACTGGTAATCGCCAAACTTAAACTATACACAAAAGGGCAATCTATTGCTGTAGTATTGTTAGTCTGCAAATGAATTTTTTTTATAAAATCCAATTCTTTCTATAAAAATAGTATTGAAGTATATTTTTTTTTAATTTTGGCTATAAAATCGGATATGTAGATACTATTAACCTAAAATTGTGTCACATTAAATTCTGAAAATAAAATAAAATACTGTTAAGTATTGATAATTTTTTTTAAAACAAATTTACCTGTATCAGTCCTCTTAAACAGTGAAATAAATGTTTAATCATATTTTATATTATATTATAGGTCCAATGCAGTCTGAAGATAGCGAACAAAATGAGGATGGCTCAGCAAATAACAGCCAAGACACTGCAACAACTCCTCAAGTGCCTGGTTTTCTTCCTGTAACACCAGCAACTTTACCTAATGTACCATCCAACTTCAATAACAGTTTACCTGATCCTAATGCAGCAATGAGGGCTGCTTCACAACTACCACCTGTTCCATATACTCCAGATCCTAATCCAGGTGGGTTTGTGCCTTATGATCCATCTCAACAGCCACAACCAGCTCAACCTACACCATTATATGGTGACAACACTACCTCTGTAGCTCAGTTGACACCAGATCAAATAGCTAAAGCACAAAAGTATTGCAAGTGGGCAGGCAGTGCCCTCAATTATGACGATGTAAAAACGGCAATCACAAACCTAAGGAATGCCTTGGAGTTGTTGCAAACTGGCCATGACCCTGCTTAATTATTGACTGTCAGAGATTTTACATAGTATATGGTTTTCATTTATGTAATCATTTAAAATAGGATGATTATAGCTATATATTTATGCTATTTTAATATATTTTTTTTAATTTATGAACTAAATTATGATATATCATTGTTTCCAAAGTAATAACAGTATGATGTAATTTTATTATAGACATGTTGAGTCTAACAGGATGGAAGATGATCATATTCAATCATAATATAATATATATGACACAGATAAATATTTAAATTAACAATCAAAATATTTTAGATGACAATATGTCACTAGTTTAGATAGTAACATCACATTAGTTATAACTTTATGATATAAGGACATTGAACCTCGTGATAAAATTATAATTTATAAATTATTTTCATAATATAGTAATAAATTGATTAATCCTTCTGTCAGTTGCTTGGGCTGTATATGAATAAGAATTATAATTTTAACAAAAATAATGTATATGTACAAATTTGTTCGCATTACCAATAAAATTTATTCACAATATTTATGTGACTGTGACTATGCTAACCATTAAGCTAAATCGATATTAGACTTTCGAAAGATTTCCCTTGCATGTACTTGTAATTGAATATGACTGAGAGTCAGCCCTATGACTCATTCAACAAATGATATACAAAAAGTTCAAAGTAGTTAAATTAGCAGCTTTACTTAAATGTCAATGATTTGGAATGGCAAACAACAATAGAGTAGTAATTACATAAATTATACTAAGGTGCTAGTTCGTTAAATAATATCCAGGGGGCACCCTTCTCATTCGTTTCTTCATACGTTTTATGTTTATTGACCATTTCTAAAGATTAAACTGTTATATTTTTATACCATGTTTTCAATATAAAATCCGACAATTCAAACCAAAATCTACTTAAAAAAGAGTGGTATAGAAGTATCCTTGCAAATGAATTTGCATGAATAAATTTTATCTTCCTATGCTAATATTTGTAGTCATGTATTGAATTGATCGTTCTTTTGTGTTCTATAATATATTATATTTACAGCTTGATAAAGTAAATTACTGTTGCAATAAAACAATGAATAATACTCCGCATTTATTCCTTAATCATCAGATTCACATCAGACAAGTCACATTTTACACATCACACGTTAACAATGATACCAGTATTAATTCTATGTGTATTGCTATTATGTAGTATTAAAAACAAAATTAATAAAGCTTCAATGTAAAATAATCATAATAATAAGTAAAAACATCCGTATTTGCAGTGCTATAAATTAATAAATGAGATATTCAGAGTATAATATCGTGTTGGTACTACTTTTGCGTAATGAATATTGATAATTAACAAAAGCAATTTATCGGTATATTTATACCTATTTTTGAGCAAATAATATTCACTACGAATTTTAAAGTGCATGTTCTAATTGTGCATACGTAAACATTAATCTAAAGCTACCAATATACAATGGCAGTTAATTATGGACTTAAATACAATTATTATACTTACATACCACATACAAAATGAACCTAGCACGAGTCGCTTAAATTAATATCACTTTTAGGTAAGTTCCGCGTTCTCTCGAGGCGCGCATACACACAACATAATATAAAATCTATATTGGTATTTTGTCTGGCAGGTAGGTACATCGCTATTCTAAATATAGATTAAAACCAGATGTTACGCGCCTATATCGATATTCAAACATATAACATACAAGCTGTCTAATGTAAAATGATTTATAAGCTGACTAGTAAAATCACAGCAGTTACCTATTTCATTTTAACATAATTTTAATATTCGTACATTGTTTAACGCTTATAATAGCGTAATGGAGAAGTGAACTTATCTCTACAAATAAAGTGTTCCTATTTTATAATAAACTCGGCAATATGGATTTATGCTTCTTGAATACCAAGTTCACTGTTCAACCATGTGACGTTACAAACGCACTTTATACTTTAACATTATCAAATTAAAATATGATCCTTTTTTTACCAATTTACATTCCAATCACTGATGTGCCGACAGATATCCCCGACAGACAGATATCCCAAATCCGGACTAGGATACTTAATTGAAAAAATCTATAATTTTCTAATTTTGAGAAAAAAAAATATTTTATCGTCTATTCTCGTTTGAGGCCATTTCCGTTTTGTGTTGCTGCCGTCTTCTCTAGTTCTTCGCGACGACTGGTTTGATACCTGCACATGGTAAACAAAGAATTTAAGTTCATAAGAAATTTAAAAAGATAAAAGATTTTCTTTTCAAATGTGTTGGATGTTTATTAAAGTTTCGAATATCTAAATTAAAAATTAATAGATTTTCATACAGTTTTTCACTAATAAGAGGTAATTTTTTGAAAATTTTATAGCAGAGGTTGAAGTGTGGAATGTTGTAGAAAAATTACTTTCTACTAATTCTGTATGATGAGTACCAGTTACGAACAGTATATTCTGTAATGTTCATGGTGCTGTTCATCGCATATAGGCGATGGTTACCATTTTCCGTCAGGTGGGCTGTCAGCTTGTTTGCCAAGATTCATAAAAATATTATACATTTATGCGGTAGGTATTACAAATACATTTTACTCCTCAAAAATAACCACTTACTATACTGCGACTTTAATCGCGACAAAACATACTCATGAATATCGAGATTTTTCGTAGACACATTAAACAAAAATATTTTTATTTAAATGACAAAATTGCGTGTTTACAATTATAATAAACTAGTGATCCGCTTCTATTTCGCATGCTTATTTTTATAAATAAAATACAGTCCATGTTTTTCGTTGATGATATAGATGAAAAAAGTTATAAAATCAATTACGAATTTTTTTTCGAGTTTATCCATTATGTACAAATAAAGAAACTCGATCTTTCCTGTTTATGCTCTAAAAAGAAAAACTGTACCTTCAATCGTCACAAAATTTATATAGAAGCAACAACACAGAAAAAGTGTAAACTCTCACTTTTATAATATTATTTTATGAAGTAGTTACTGCATATTTTTTATTGTTTATAGAGCAAGGATGGCCGACTTGACTAGACCCAAGATCTATTTACTAATGAAACCTTGTACGATCTACTAAATATATACTTCTTGAAATCTCAAATGAAACAACATAGTACACAATTATATAGTATTTTTTTATTTTAATAGGGGAAATACATAAAACTGTAAATTATTCTTAGTAACTACTTATTTATATTACTGTGAGCATTGCGTCTTTGCATTTCCCGCTAAAATAGCAAAAATATTATATTTTTTTGCTTAACCATGATCGACTGGACTAATAGTCCCCCGATCGACCGGTTGGCCACCCCTGATATAGAGTATGGGTATACCTAATAGATTACTCCGGGGGGAAACGGATTGTTAGTAATAAGATTTAACAACCTCATTGTTAACAATACATTATACCTATAGCGCAGGCGGGGTTACCATTCCATCTTCACCCATAAAAAAAAATAGATAACTCCAGGAAATGTAGACGAAATATTCTTTATGCGAACGAATAAACAAACTGCCAGAATGACTGAAAAGGTTGTCCGTATGTGTGTTATTTAATGTGTTGAATATCCAAATTTTAGAAGTAGGAAATCTTAGCTTTTATCGCCTCTGTACAATTGCTTACATAAAACCGGTCATGATTAGTGTGAGATAATGTATCGTAATCTAAAAATATAACTGATCTATATATCGTAATTGTTGATATGTAAACGATAAAAACCGTGCTGTTGATTTTGCAATTTATTTGAAACAGATGCCTTTTTGGACTAATTTCATGAATTATGGTAGCAAGGTCATCGTAAATGTTTTCAGACCTATAACATTGAATGAAGCGCAACGACTAAGGCACTCCTATAAATCTAATCGGATTACAAGACGATCTAGTATTCTATATAGTGATCTCAATATTAAAATTTTAAATACAATAAAGAATAATCTCAACTAACTAAAATATCCCTGTAATACACAACATATTTGTATGACATGAGTATTAGACGATTCGCCATCGTATTGTATTCGATGGCATAGCGCCAAATTTACAGTTTCTGTTGTGTATAAGAACCCGTACCTATATAAATTTTATATTATGATCTCAGGTATATGTACATTAGAATCAAAATACGCAAGGACAGGACGGTTTATGTTCTGCAAAAAAAAAAGCTAGATCATGACAAAAACAACACGAAAATAAACGCTATCAATTTTATATAAAAATATCAAAATCGGTTAAGATTTGAGGAAAATATCTCTTAAATTGGGGTAATAAATTAATTTCCACTATCTTAAATAATGTTTGATCGTGGGCACACTTACATTTTGGTGCCTTGGTAAATGTAACTGAATATTACTGAATTCACTTTTCTGATTTATTTCTTGTAAACACACTGATAAGGATTCTGATTATCAAATAAAATTTATAATTTATTGAACACCTGGAATATAATCGCAAAGACGCTTACTTGTTCAAGCGTCGAATGGGAGAGAGCGAATCAACTACAATTATAATTACATTTTTTACTAGATTATAAGTAACCGAGAGTTCGTTTCTAATGGACAGGCCCATTAGGAATAAATTATGATTAATTGAACTTAGTATAGAAATGAGATTTAGACATGTTAAAGCATGTAATATTGCTAAAGAATTATATTAAAAATACCCTACATAATCTAATTTGACTAAACTTACTTTCGACTTGAGTTATGTATTTATTTAGTGATGTATGGTTTGTTATAACAGAGAGAGACCCGCAAGTAAAAATTAAGGGTGTCGGTACTGAACTACCTACTTGCTTTTTTCATTCAACTAGTAATCTGGGCCCGGTTTCGATAGAATTTTCGAAAATAATATATAACCTATATTACTCACTTATAATTGTAACATTTTATAGATGAAATAATTTTTAAAATCGGTTGAGAAGTTATTGCGTCCTGTGACCCCGCGCCTTGCGTCCGAGCCGAAAGTTTCGGTAGTGTATCAATGTAAATTAATATTATGTATAACGAGGAAAGATGATTAATTTTTTGCTTGTTACGATTTACCTCAAAAACACCAATTTTACTGAAAGCTACATTTCCTCGGAATAACATAGACTATTTTATATTTTCTGTAAAGAACTCATGGAAGCCGGGGCGGGTTGCTAGTTGAATATAAAGTAATCCTTAATAAAATAATGCATTGAATCACTACCTGCATTTCACATGCATAAAGTAATACTTGTATTCGTATCTCTGATCTAGCTATTTCACCGTTCCGAATATTTCCGGCCCTTGACAATAATAGTAGCTTTCGATCGGTGCTTTGCACGTGTGGTATCGTGTTTCCCCTTTAAGTGGACATTTTCAAAAATGTTCCAGATTTTAGATTTCTAGACTTATTCTCTTATTCATAAAAACGTCAAACCTCTCATAAACCTATTTTGCCTATTGTTTTATCCTTTTCTTTTGCACTTATTTCTCAATTTGAATAACAGTGACAAAACACTTAATATAGGTTTGCAGAACGTATATTTTTTATGAATGGAGTTTGTTTTGACTGCATATTAATAAACAGTCAATCGGGATGAACGATTTGATATGTATGGATTGTGGACGAAAAACAGCCCTTGTACATTACGTCTCCATAATAAAAATTAAAATGGTCCAAGTTATCGATCTAAATTGTGAATTGTTCACTTTCTATATTCTATATTATTAAAAATTTAATTTTCCAATTTGATTCTATAATAAAACATAACACTTTCAGTAGGGGAAATTATTTTAACAATTATAAGTACCTAGGTACCGCTTCCATTTGTAATAGTTTTATATTATAAAATTCCAAAAAGTAAGTTTAAAGCGCACTTAAACGAAAAATTATGTATTGCATTCGCCTCTTACGAATTGTTTTTAATGAAGCCGCGAAAATAATCCACCATTTTTTGTCAACCTCATACTTACAATACACACTGCAACGTACATGTTGTACAATGTCCTTTCATTATTATTTTTTTAACTAATGGTTGTACAATATATGACATACCGTTAGTACCTACAGCAGCAGTTAGTACTACGACTTCTAATTTTGCTTCAAATAGGCCAACTCTAGTGTGTCATACCCTTGCGAAGCCGGAGCAGGTCAGTTAGTAATGTAAAAGGCTTACCAAACGACAAGTCTCCCACTGAGCATGAAAAAGAACACCAAGGCCGGCGCGCAACGATCGAACGGATCTCCCACCATCACATGGGAGTAAGCAGCCAAAATCATTAGCAGCACTAGGCCTATATTCGCCGCATTTTTCACCTTATCTGAAATCATGAAATCATTTTTCATTTTAGGCAGAATTTATCTTTTCGACGCAAATTCTTTTTTAAAATTTACGATTACAAATCAAAGCGAAGATTTATACAGATTTTAATTATAATGAAATTAATGTAATTTTATTTGCATTACATACTAGCTGCCAAATATTCCCGAATATTAGTGGGTTTTGGCATCTATGATAAGATACTTTCAAGTTATTTCTTCTATAAAGGAAATGCTTTAATTTTGGCCCCAAACTAAATTGTCTGGGCCAAATATTTTTTTATATACGTGTATAAAAAAAAATACAATAGTTATCAGAAAAAAATATACTATACAGATACTAAGTAGTTTATTGGCACAAAAAAATACTTCTCATTATTTCTTTTTTTACTATTCTTACTTCATATTACAAACTGCCAAAATAAAATTTGAATATGACAAATTTCGTATCTACCACAGTTTAGATTTGAGTTACGAATGTTTAATTGAAATTAGCTATGTACCAGAGTGTACAAACAGAGGTGTGTCGATCTTGAATATGCACAACATATTTATAATACTCCGAGAATAATATTAAAATTAAATTAATTGTAAACTTACGGCTTGGTATAATCGCTAACGCTAAGCCAAATAATATCTCGAGTCCTCCTACAGTTCTCCTGTACCATTTTGATGGTAACTTGAAATCGAATGTTTCAGATAAGGGGAAAACTTTGGCATATCTGACGTATTCTTTTCTCTGAAAATATAAAAGATACAAAATTAAACAGTCACGTCAATTTTAATAGATAAAACCGTAAGATTCATAATGATGAAAATGTTATAACTAGTAAAACGTGTATTTATCTAGCTACGCGTAGTATGTTTGCTAGTTCCGTAAAGTGCATAATTAGGGAATTTTGGAATATACACCCTTAAGGCGTATCATTTCATATGGTATATCGTACCATCTGAATACTTACGGGCTAAGTTCTTAAAGGGTATATATAATATATCCTCTTAGAACTTTATTCTGTGCATGCATTCCAAAATCCTCTAATTAGGTAACTACAGAGTTATGATGTTTTATCTAATCCTGGAAATATTATCCACCCTTGAATATGTCGTATGGTATCGTATTAACTATTACTGTGTGTTTGAATCTCATTAGGTTTATGTCGATGCAAATTGGTCAATGTTGTTTCGAGTCACATACGATGACCTTCGCAACGAAAGGCAAACTACTTTGTGTAAGGAGGTCCCAGGTAAAATTTTCAGTCAGGCTAATTTAGGAAAAAACTTTTTTAAATTTCCTTGGGTCTTGGTGTCCTGGGTTGGGCCCTAGATGTTCATTAACTGATTCCCCATAACACAGGATATTAGTTTAGTTTGAAAACCAGGCTATTAATGTATTTGTGTAGCACTTATAATAATTATTGTCAGCCGTGTCAGCGGTTTACACACATTTATATAATGCAAATGTGTCATAGGCTCTCAATTCACTGCAACACAACGTAGTCAGCCTTTGCTTTGTAGCGGCAGGGGACTGCTCTTCTACCGATTGAAAAATACGGTACAGTAATATAAGCAAGCATTATCTGGTTGAATAGGTATGAACCGATTCGGTAGTGTCAGTTAGATATTTAACTCATCTGAATAGTTTCATTGTATTAATATTCGCGTGTTAGAATTTTGAATTTACACTTATCATCAACGAATATTTTAAAAAGAAAATTAAAGATAATGGACTAGTCTAACCGTTCACGAATTAGGGGGGAAAGGGATTGTTAGCAATGGAGTTTGACAGCCCCATTGCTAGCAATATGCCTTATTAGGTCGACCTCCACGTGGTTCCTCCTGGAAACCATCGTGAACAATTCTTGTTGAAGTTGCCACGATGTGCTAACTGACCTACTTCATCCTCATCTATCATCCTTCATTGGTGCCCCGCCTGTGTATACCGACAGCGCGGGCGGGGTTACCATTCCATTATCATCCATTAAAAAAAAAACCGTTCTCGAATTTTGTGCTTAGTAACACACTTAACAATTATTTTTTATTTATATATAAAAATATTTTTTATGACTACCATGCCTAGATTTTATCTTTCGTGTAGCCTAGAAAACTTCCACGATTGGATGAAATTTGTCGACGACAAATATACAAAAAACTGTTAAGCCATCTAAGCTGTAACATAATCCTGTTTATTTAGCAGTTGGGTAAAAATATGACTCAACACTTGATACCGTACAGTTTAGCTATTCTGTTATTGTTTATGTTACGTAATAACATTACCTCACACAATAGCTTTTAGTAAAATTATAAACATTTGAAAGTATTTTAAAATCCGTAACCCAACATCCGAAATCTTATTTAATAGGTTAATAATTCATTTATTTGTAAATGTCTTTAAAATGTATTAATATAATGAATAATAGAAAAATATAGTACGGAGCACCCACAGCAACGAATCAACTGTCGCAACGAGACAAGACCGCAGTGGTATTAGGCGACACGCCAAATACTAAAATAGCAAGATTCGTCGCTGCGCAACAAAAATCTCAATGCATCTAGCGACCTTAAACCTATTTGTCTGCGACTGAATAAGCAATAATAATCAAATGGACTCACCAAATCTTTGTGCAGTTCCTTAGAAATAAACGGTGTCAATTTCGTTATACCAACAAATATAAAGAATACCCCTAAAAGGATAGATAAACTTTTTAACACGATTGAGCCCATTTTTAACAAGCGTTCTATAGTAAACTCTGCACTGATTTAAACCTCTTTGCGCATCCTGTGTTTATATAAATTATTTGGCATAGTAACTATATTACGCGCACAATAAAACAGTAAAAAAATTGATAGAAAACACAATTACATCAAGATTCATACTTTATAATTATCTATTTACGATACACAAAAAATAAAGGTACGTACGGAGTACAAACGTTTCGCGCCGGCGCGAAAAAAATCTATACCACGTTGGAAACTTGGAAGTGTTGCCACAAAGAATATATTAATGTATGGGTAGTTTTTTATATCTCTTGTAATTCATACATTTCGAACATACATATATCCTTTTAAATATTGTCATTCCATTTACTATAATAGGTACCTACTTTATAAATGTTATTATTTAAGGATTACGTCGGCAGTTTTATATAGATTTTGACGATTCTTTTTGTAACACGGGTTTTCTTCCGTGTTGGTTCCATGGATGTCATTTTTTTTTATTATTAAAGCTGCCGTTTTCCTGTCAGTAACATACTTATAAAATAAAAGAAAGGTGCTAACGCCAAGCATAAATGTTTGCCTCCATTATGTAAGTTTTTTTATGGATAATGGACTGGTAACTCCACCTGCACTATCGGTATACATTAGCGGGGCATCAGTGACGATAGATGAGGATGAATTCAAATCAATTATTCCATTGTAATGAATTGCCCAAGAATTAACTGCCTGATAGCGCCGGCAGAGTCATTATTCCATTATCATACATAAGAAAAATATACATTGGTCAGGCCTACAGTACAGTATTATCTTTTAGATAATCGTTTATATTATATACGCTACCTACCCATCTATTCGTAAATTCCTCCCACTCTAAAGGCTTAAAAATTTATAATTAGTCATTTGGCCATTTATTAATTATAAATTGGAATATGATAATTATAAATTGGAATAATAGATTGAGGAGAAAATAGAATACCTACGATTTCATATCTCAATATCTTTTTAAAATATCACTAAACTAGACAACCAGCTATGATCTATGATTATATAAATCAAATTTTTTAAACATGAATTTAAAAATTAATATTATTTCTTTTATTAATAAAAATAACAAATTTAATATTTTAATAACAATCTATTTAATATTATTTTATAAAAAAAAAACAACATTTTATGTAATATACAAACTTATTAAATATTTAATTTTCGTTTAATAATAAATATAAATAAAATAATAATAAATAGTATATGTAATCTAGATGTTTTTTTCGAGTGACTCAAAAAAATCCGAAAAATGAAATCAAAATAAAAAAAAAATATATTGGTAGTTGGGGTGGATCTTGAATCTTGCATAAGGAGGTACTCAGTTCATATGAATTATTATTGTGACGTTATACATGTTTAGTCACTAATTCTAAAACAATTTTCACAATTCTTTTGCAATCACTGAGATGTATCATATGTTGGCCCTACTTTAATTTTGTGACAAATAAAGTTGACATTTTTCTTCGAAGAGCTAAAAACCTGCATGTTGTGAAACAAAATTTATATGCAACACCTTAGGTAAAAAATATTTTCAATTAGATATACTTAACAAAAAACACATCTACTATTAAAAATGAAACCACATATTTACTTAATTATATTTATGTTTCATGTTATGGCATATGTTAGCCAATTCTGAATTATTTTTCTTCAGTTTACCTTGTCAGTATGCTATATAACTTTGTACCTAATTAATTTTATCATGACTGAAGTTGTTTGTTTCAAACAACTTTATTTGTTTGAAACAAAATTATAAATTATTAGATTTCATGAAAATATGTGAAGAAAAATATTTCTTATAACCTATTGCTGATTCTATGTGACCTATTTCCACAAAAATGTTGTGAAAGTTACATTTTTATTTGATACTTGGAACCTGTTTTGACTTCACATGGACTTAAAATAAAAATATATAGCCCATGTTACTTGCCGATAGCTTTGTATAGAGGTGAAAGAATTTTTAGAATCACTTATTTTTAGTTTATCTACACACAAAAATCTTAAAAACATTAGTTTACATTTTTTTATCCAGAAATATAAGAGTCAAATTGTTAGAGCTATTTTTTGATTATTCAAGTTATTGAAACATAAAAATTAAATGTGGGAACATAGTGCTAAGACTACTTAATGAAACATTTTGTTAGATAAGTATGCCCTTGATCAATAGGTTTGCCTAATTTCATCCTTTATAAAATAACTATTTTATACATCAAAATTTTAATATGGAAGGCCATTCATCATTCTCATTACCCTAATCTATTTTGCAAGGCGACTCACTGAAGGATGTATAAGTTTATATTAAAATAGAATTATATTTCCTGGGAATCCGTTTTCATTTTTTAGAAATGTTTCATAATCTTTAATGAACTTTGATGAGCCACATATCATGAACTGATCATGAATTGAGAATGGTTCTAGTTCAATTACATCTTTAAAATGCAATTTATGACTTGTTATTGGTTCTCTATATTTGTGACAGGTCTTTTCAGGTACATCATTTATAAATATTTTATATGTAAAATTCCAATAACATTGGTAAGTATAAAGTTCATCTCTGAAAAGAACTGTACTTATATTCTGACAGCAATAGTATAGCACTAATTTAGTCATGTCATCTTCATCAGATAAAATTTTTTCAATAATAGATACAAAGGGCAATATACCAGTGCCTTGAGCAACCATGATGATTCTATTAAACTTATTACGAGTCACTTCATAGAAACCATATGGACCCCGCCACAATGTTTCATCTCCAGATTTTAAATCACATAAATAATTAGATACTAAACCATGTGTATACTTTTTTACTATTATAGAGAAATCAAAGTCATCATGGTTTTGTCTTTTTAATTTTACAGGAGTGTAAGCTCTAGTACATGGGACAGAGTTATATTTAACAAGGAAATGATCTCCAGGATTCCAGACTACTGTTTGACTATTAGTATTTGGCATTTTCTTTAATAAAATAAGATTATGTGAAACACATATTTCAGTATTAGAAATAACAATAAATGTTGTATATTCCGTCTGCGAAATAGCATTTTGTAAATACATATCTGATTTCTCGCCAGTTTCTTGATATTTTTTATATATAGCTAACTGCTTTTCGTAAATATCAAATATACATGGGTTACAACCACTATTACAGCAATCTTCTCTGTTTGGCTCTATAGGCGGTTTCATATTATAAATTTGATATCGATAGGAATCTGTAAAATTATTACTATTCGTAATAAGGAAGTAGATTGCTATGAAATATACTATAAAATTGTGAGTATGGTTTACTACCTATATTTGTAATTGTAATAGTTATGTAGAAGTTTCTTTAATTAAATTCACTTGTCAAAAATTATACACAAAACTTTCAAAAAATTTGTTCAATTACTTAGTAAATCTACATATTTGTCATTTTTAAATGTCAGAGTTGACATACGAGACTGACATTTTAGTTTTTTTTTTCTTTTTAGTGGCATTCACCCCGATATTAGGGTATTTTTCTAAGAACAAAACGGGGAAACGACTAATAAATATACCTAACTCAAGCGTAAGCGTTAGAAAGGATAAGGATTAGGTCTAGGATTTCTATAGGATATGAAGGGTATAACTTGTACATATGAGGATATACTTATAGATATATAGGAGGATATATAGAAGCAATTGATGCAACTATAAATGTAATCATATAACAAAATTTTAATATTGTTATCATATATATATAATGATAGTATTTTATAGATAATAGGATCGTTGGAAGAAAGTAGAGTAAGAATAGAAGTTGGGAATGGGACACGGTTGAATCAGTGATGATTAAAAAGGGAGGCGTGGTCAAATTGTGAATATGAGAAAAATATATGATTTAAGTCCGCCACTTCAGCACCGCAAGTACACGACGAACTTTGTACAATATCAAGCTTGTATAAATGAGAAGGTGTGCATACGTGATCTAGACGCATACGAGTTAAAATAGTAGTTGCGGTTTTTTCAAGCTTTAGTTTACAAAACCATGGTTTGAAAGGAATATCGGGTTGTATATGGCGATAAAATCTTCCTTTTATTGTATTGTTTTTTTTCCAATATTCCTTCCAGGCATATCTTAAATATATTTTTGGGAGACAAGCTAGGTCACTGCAGTAGGTATGATACGGATACATATCACCACAAGTTACAGCCTCTTTTTTTTAATAAGGTTAGCTTTGTCATTGCCGCTAATACCACTGTGTCCTGGTAACCAGGCCCAAGAAACGGAATACCCTCTCAACATGCAAAGATGAAGACTTTGTCTTATATCACAAATAATGAGATAAACTGGTTTTGATTTAAATGGATATTTGGCTAGAGCTTGTAAAGAGCTCATAGAGTCGGTAAAAACTACTGCCTTTTGTAATTTCATTAAAAGTATATATTCTACAGCTTTTAAAATACCATAACATTCCCCGGTAAAAACTGAAGATTCCGGTAGAAGCTTAATTTTTTGAACGATATTAAATTGTGAATGAAACACACCTCCATCTACACGACCTGTCTATCTGGACATTTTACTTTTCTTTTGTGACATTTATTCTTTGCATTCATCCCGATTTTAAATATTTTGCCCACACATTATGTAATAATCAAAATGTGGTAACAACAGTAATAGGGATTATTTATCAAAATTGAAATTAAAACTAATTAGTAATAGTAGTATATGAATAACAATCATACCATTAAATTTACTTTCTGTTTTTAAGAGTATTCATATTGGTCCACATCAAAGTGCGTTAATTTCATCTTCAGGTACTTTTTCATTAAATCACATTTTACGCTTTAAAAGAGAAGTGCTTAAAAATATAAATAATGTTAAGAAGAGTTCTTTGACTTACTGTTAAAAATAGGTTTATTTTACTGGCTGGTTGTAATTTATAAAGATATAATTTTTAAATCCAATTGGTATACTTGTCAAAGCAAATTATTATACCATAAAAATCCTAATATTCTAAGTCTGCGTTACAAATCCCATTCTCTTTAATTTCTTAAAGAAAAGTTTAGGTACTTGCAACTATTGATGTTTGTAAGACGACGAAGAATCTTCATCTCTATAAATACTACAAATGTCGATAGATTAGTTCTAGCTTAAAATAAACCATTTCAGTCATATTTTATTTCTAGGGATTATTCTAAGTCTATGATCGGAAATCCCTTAAAAATTAAAAATCGAAATATATTGGTAACACTGAGGCGTGATTTATTGGCGCGAAAACTTAAAAATAAAATATATGTGATGTAATTTTATCAATTAATATATTAGTTTATTAATATGGTGTTATAATAATATCCTTCTAAAGAAACTATTATTTTTTAGAGTTAGTTTAATCGTTTATTCAAAATAGGAAATATAAATTTATAATATCCGCGTAAAAACGCTCCCGTTACTCTCAGCGCCCTCTACACAGACGCCAAATAAACGCCGGTCGTTTTAGTGCCCGCCATAATAATCTCTTTAGGCTTTGCGTTTTCCTTACACCTGTAAACAACTCCGTAAGTAATTTTATTCTAATTTTTAAAAACTTTGTAGATGATATTAATATTCTGTTTAAATAACATCACTATCAGTCTTGTTGAATAAATATTATTAAATCATCTTTGCAAATTAATTTGCCTTTGGTTTATACGTATTCTAAGTAGACTCCATTAATTTGGCTTCATAACGTCCACTCCTATAAATTTCAATTAATAATAGTGTCATTGTTGCCGGTAATTTATTGTTTTATTGCATGAGTTAATTATATTTCATTTTTGTTTGTAGTTATTATTCTTTATTGAAATTTTGCTATGATTGCAAAATAAGAACTAACCACTTCACATAGCGTCTTTTCCTTCGTTGTTGACATTACTGTGTTTAAAGGTTTATTAAAAACTTTTTATTTATTTCCCTTTATAGTTTTATTCGATTTTCAATAGTTGTCGTGATAATTATTAAATTGAAATCAATATTGTACTCTTTTGAAGCAGCATCCATTGTTTAATATGTATGTATATAACTTAGATGTATATACTTAATATGTAGTGTTTCCATGATTAAAATAGGTATCTATATTGATCAGAACAAATATATGGATATATATATATTTCCATTATTATCATTATTTAATTACTTAAACTAAAATCCTAAAGCAATTTTTTTATTATATTTTATTCAATAATTTAAATTTTTATTTTATTTATATTAAATTTTTTTAATTAAAAATTTATTTTATTTTTACAGGTTTTACCTACTTAGTGTAATATAATTTAACTGAAATGTCTGATGACGGATCGACAACTGTTGAGAAGAAAGGTCGTGGCAGGCCTAAAGCTAATGGAACACAGTCGGTTAGTATATTTTTACTCATTGATCAACTATCAATGTAACATATATATTTTTGTCATTTCATAACATTTTTTTTACCAGGAGGCCAAAAGTGACACGAAGAAAAGAGGTAGACAGCCAGCACCTACTAAAACAAAAGAATCTACTAAATCTTCTGATGATGAGCAAGCACCGGTAGCAAAGAGAGGGCGAGGTCGGCCCAAAGGTTCCAAAAAAAAGACTGCAACCAAGGCAAAGGTAATATCTTATTTATGCATTATAAATTTAAATTTTACATGAGTAGTCTTCATATAACCATGAAAATGCTTTTTGTTATGTAGAGTGCACCTGTTGAAGGAAGAGGTCGTGGTAGGCCACGTAAGGATGCTCCACCACCAAAAAAGGATGCTGCATCGACTGAAGAAGAGCAAGATGAGGATGATGAAGAAGAAGGCTCTGACCAGTAAAATGTGTTTAATTTTTTGACACATTGACACTCACTTTAGTGTAATTTGTTTGTCATGATAACTCTAGCTGTTTTGGTCACTGCAACACATTGATTTTCTGTGAATGTTCAGTATTGTAAATTTTGGCGTGAAGAAATTTCGATAATGTTAGTAATGAGGGTTATCTTGACAGTACAAAAATCTCAAACAAGATTGTCTATCCAAACTTTAATCATGTGAGAACTCATGTGTAAGAATTAATGTTTAAGATGCAAAGGTAGCTGCTATATAAAAAAGTATTCCGTATTATATTAAAATGCATTTACTTGGAATATTTTGTTATAAAACTTACATGAATAAATGTTGGGCTGACTTAGCTCTCCTTACACATAGAATGGTACAACTATAAGATATAATTGGTAAGAAAACTTTTTGTAGATTTATTCTTAGGTACTTTGTAATCTCTGATTTATTATTAAGAATAATTTCGTATATCTAATTATATAGATTTATCATTTTAACATCAAGAGTTGAGTATTATTTTCTATAATAAATATTTTCAATTTTCATTTTGATTTTATCTTATTTCCCTTTACTATTCAGTTTAAGTTACAAAAATCCAGAAAATTTGTTACAGTATGTCAAGTATTGTATTTTTTGTCAGAAAAAAAAACAAATTTATTAAAATGCTATTCCATAAACAAAGCAAGTATTGTGTAGTGTGTATGGGTAGTGCCATTTTGTATCAAATTCGTTTTGTATGTTGAGCAGACTGAAATCTAATAGGTATTGTTTTTAAAGGACAATTATTGTGTGCATGTGCGTGATTGTACAATTTTAGAACAATATAAATAAATTTATGAAATTCTATGACAAAATTTTATTTATGTGACTTGGATTTAGAATTTTTTAGAATATAATAATTCTTTAGAATAACCCTATTCGTTTATAATCAATACGTCTTTACTTCCTTACCTTACATACATACCCAAACTTACCGAGTCCCTCTGCAAATTTTTGACGAGTCCCTCTTCCTCCGTCCCCAAGGAGGAATTTTACCTTTGTACAGATTTTTATCGATAAATTATGAATGAATATTAATCTTACTAATAACTTTTAAATGGATGATAATGGAATGGTAACATCGCAGTTATGAATACACCTGGAATTCAGTACGATGGTTTCCAGGGCCTTATCACGAGAAAGTCGACCTGAGAAGACATTACTAAGAATGGCACGGGCAGTCCGCATTACTAACAATACCTTCCACCTACATGATAAGCTTGATACCTTGAAAATAAGGTATATTGCTACCAACAGAACGGGTAATCTGCGTTTCTCATAATCTATTCCACCTTCCATCCGACGCCAAATGATTTACATTGACGCCTTAATGGTTCTACCAATTGTTAAATTTTGGTATAATGGTACTATTTCAGATCCAGAAGGACATTTTTCTTTTTCTAGATCAATCGATACATACTAGTTGCGCGGACGAAATCGTTGGTAAAAGCTTGTCATTATAATTTATCGTAACACATCACGACAGTTTATCATCATGACAATATTAATAATACGATTCTACGGGGACGTTAAATTTCCATTTGAAATATCGTCATGTCATGCACACAAAGTTGTATGCGTTCATGATATCGTCATTTAAACTTAAAAATGTCCCTACATCTTTTATTACGAGTATGATGAGTATGTTCACGAGTATGACGTGTGAGCCAGCAATCATTGAAAAGCCAACTCACATAAAAATTCAGACTAAATAAATAGGAACAAACGAATTTACCAGTAATAAGTTTGCCATATTTCTTGATTCTGATATCTGCTCCTATCGGAATATACAGGAAACAAGCTTTTCCCTAGATTAAAACGTAAACTTTTACTGCTTCAACCCTCTTCCATCTGGTATTTGAGAGTGAGAGTACTTCTTTGGCAAATTTTTGTTAATGTGCTACTGACACAGAAAAGAAAATTTCTTGCACAATTAAAAAGAAAGATATAATTTTTAATGAACTTTTTAGCAGCATCATTCAGATCTATCACATTTAAGTTGCGTGTCACACAAGGAATATATAGTAAATAGCGCGCGGATTTATACGAATTTTTTCCCTTTCGATTTTCATATTTGCATTATTATACTTGACCACATATATATTGTACATCAATTTCGTTACTAATTATATACGTATAAAAGTGGGTCCGGTGAGATATGAAAACCAGTAGATAATATATATCTATAGCATCATCAGCATATCTCAAAAACTATCCATTAGTTATATTATCTAGTGGCCGAATATCATAACTCAACACCCCTATCTGGGAGGAAGGGATTGTTAGTAATGCGAGCTACCGGTCCTGCTGCTAGCAATATAATCTGTCAGGCCGACCTCCACGAGGTTCTCCCTGGAAACCATCGTGCTGAATTCTAGATGTTTTATTCATCACGATGGGCTAACTAACCTGCTTTTTCATTCTCACCTGTCATCCTTCACTGGTGTCCCGCCAGCGTATACCATTTTTTTTTAATGGATGATAATGGAATGGTAACTCCACCCGCGCTTTCGGTATACACCAGCGGAGCACCAGTGAAGGATGATAGGTGAGTATGAAGCAGGTCAGTTAGCCCATCGTGACGAATTCAACAAGAATTTTTCACGATGGTTTCCAGGGGGAACCACGTGGAGGTAGCGTATACCGTTAGCGCAGGCGAGATTACCATTCTATTGTCATTCATTAAAAACACCCCTATTTTGCTTATATATCAGATATTAATTCTTTAATACTAAAATATTAAAGAATTAATATCGGAACTAATTTTTGACACACAATTTACATTTTAGTATTATTTTGAGTGTATAAAACGAAATTATAAAATTCAATAAATAATGAAAATTGTTTTATTTATATCAACTTTTTTATTATAAAACATGCCATCCTAAGTATTACGAATATTGTAAAGTATGATACTTATACGTTGACCTAAAATGACAATTGTTGTGATAATGTGAATGACTTTTTTTTATTAATTAACCATTAATCACCCGAGCTTAATCTTAGCTAATTGAAAAATACCTTTTTCGCATTTTCTTTTTGGATGGATCGATTTGTATCGAGATAAAAGAGGAAGTTATGGAATCTAGATAATATAAAAACTGTACTTGAGGCTATACGAAACGGAAGTAAAAAAAAAACAGCTGCATTTCCCAGTAGTCTAGTAGGTCTAGAGACTAATCTATATTTCACTTAGATATTTCATTCAAAGAATTAACAAGAGCGTTAGTTAGCTCTCCCCCCCCCCCGCCGGTACCGCCGCACCCTCTGTCCCTGCGTTTAAAATCTGTAATGTCTTCGAATATATTATTTTAAATTACATGTTGTAATTTAAAATAATATATTATATTGTTCTGGCCATATTGTTCTATATTAAATGCAGAATATTTAAGATACTTAATTGGATTAGAATTAATGCTAGATTGCTTAAAATCGTTTCGTAAATAAGTCATTATTTCTCGTAAAACATAAAGAATAAAAAATGGTTCTTGTGGGTTATCCCTAAGAGATAGACATATACCATTGGGGACTTTTTAGTAGACCTTAAAGTGTATAATACTGTAGTACATTATTTTGATCTATCTCGTAGGATTCAGACAGCGTTTGCAATGTAAGCGCAAAAATGTGTCTATTTATGACGTCACATTAGAAACCTCTAAACTTATCAGTATTGGGGGGAATGGGATTGTTAGCAATGGAGTTTGATAGTTTCATTGCTAGCAATATGTCCTATTAGGTCGCCCTCCACGTGGTTCCCCCTGGAAACCATCGTGAACAATTCTTGTTGAATTCGTCACGATGGGCTAACTTACCTGCTTCATACTCACCTATCATCCTACACTGGTGCCCCGCCGGTGTATACCGATAGCGCGGGTGGGGTTACCATTATCATCCATTAAAAAAAAGGGTCCAAAATTGAAGTTTAAATGTTATCTATTAATTACATTATAGAATGCAATAAGAAATAAATAAATAAAAAAAATTTAAAAGAACTACGAAAATCACTATAAGTATAATCAAAGTATTAAATATTTGCCTGTAAAGTAATTATTTGGCGTGCGCTGCAAAAACTATTAGATACATAAAGTAATGTACTATATTTTTATAATAAAAACAAAAATATCTACGAGGCTATATATTTAACTATAATATGCAACATGAGCTAACTGTAATCTTCTATTGATCCAAATAAAGTACGTTTAAAATAAGTAAGTTTAAAATACAATTATATACTTCTATCTACTTGTTCGAAACCAGGACGACTCGCTACTTAATATTATACATATAATAATGATTATTTTTATAACCTCTTGATGTTCTAACGGCTAGTATGAATAATATATATATATATATATATATATATATATATATATATATATATATATATATATATATATATATATATATATATATATAATTTTAAATTTTAATATATTTTATCAATTTTTTACTATAGCTCTTATCTGAGAATAACGTTCTGAAAATGGTCTTTTAAGGTATGTAGCGTCTTAAAAGCGCCGGCACCGAGAATAAAGCTATATGGTATAGGAGATATCGCGAGCATCGCCCGTGTGCACTACAAGTAAAACCGCCTTTGATTAATATTAATATAATAACTATTACATTAAAATTGTAATTTTGGAAATATATGTAGACAGAGGTTATGGATGTGATTGTAAGCATCTAGACTTGAGAAAGAGAATGCCTTACAATATTATTCTTATTCCATGCATGTGTGGTATTTCTGAATCTATCTCATTGTTCGAATATTTTACGAACGATTGCCCGTTATAAATAATATAGTTATGAAGAAATAAATAAATATACCTATATAAATAAATGTATCACAATCGCTTTATAAGTGCTAATGGTTAAATGCATTTTTTTTTATGCCAAATTGTGCTATTTGCGATAAAAACACTAAATCATCATAGTAATTTTAATATCTAAATCGCTCTACAGAGGTCGCGTAAATGATTTTCATTTTTAAAATATATGTTATTCCTGTAAACGTGTGCTTAAACAAACATATATTTTCATACAAAACTACACAGGGAATTCCATATTACCGATAAATTAAAAAACTTTACTAGATTACAGATTCTATTATTAACAAAATGTTAATAGTATTCTCTATTTAAATGTTTAAATTGTTCTAGAACCAAATATTTCGCAAATCCTTGTTATTAGTTTTTAACTTGTCTTATTTGTTTCATTATTATATGTTTGTGAGTTTTAACAATAAAAAAACTATCCAATTATAAATTAAGATTACTATTCTTATTATAGTTATTTTATATTCTACATCTATGGTCTCACCATGTTTTTGTCTGCGGCACAGCTCGAGTGAATAACGTTGTCAGATTGGGTACTTTTTTGCAATTTGGGTAAAAATTTTTCTTGATACGAAATTCTGAAGCAATTTTTAAAAAATTGAAAAATTTTTAATGTATAAATAATAGTAAAATATTTGACTTTTGGGTAAAAATAAAAAAATCACATCTGGTAACCCTGCGAGTGAGTACGAGTCTGAGCGATGGATTCAATGGTATTCTATGTGGATTGTTTTGGGCTTTGGAGTGCTTGTGCTGCCTCCTTTTCCCGTTTCTATGCTTCAAAGTTCCGTGAAGTTTGTTGTTTTATGTTTGCGTCATTCTAGTGTATATGATTCTATCCTTGTACGTTGAATTTTATCATTTAAAAATAATTTATTTGTCGTTATGTTGTGATAATTTTTATTACTTTAAATGCGTAAATTTGGTTTAACACAGTGTAATGAGTAATATTGACTTTGAAATGTGATATGATAGTGCCTTCTAAGTTTTTGAGTAACATCAAAGTTGGCTAAGTTTAACAAAGTGATAGTATTTTCTTTATTTTAATCCAGATATATTATGTGTATGCACATTGTGTTTGTATGGATTACGTGATCATTATTTAACAGGTTCGTATAGTTTTGTAATAAAATTGTTTTACTATTAATTTGTATGTGTAAGTATATATAAATGATAGGTATACAGGTTCAGGTATGTTGTCATTACTCTGTCAACGTGATTGTATGATCATGTTTTATCATATCTTTATAATGTTCTTGATAATATTTGTTTGTTAAATACCTGTCATAATCTTTTCATTACTAAAGAACCACATTTATTTTTTATATTAACTTCCTATTGGATCTTATTCAGTTCTGGCATAGGTTTATAAAGTAGTAGTGTTGTTTTTTAGAAATAGAAATAAAAGTAGTATTTAAGACATATTTGCTCCACATTGATTGTAGAAGGGGTTCATAACATATTTTTAAGTGATTAGAACTTAGTATCTCCTTATATATAACTTCAAGATTGGCAATGCATGGGGGGTATCATGGGCAAAATAGTATACTCTGTAATGTTCATGCAGTACCATGAACTATACATGTACTCATGTCTATAGACGACTGTTACTACTTTCCATCAATTATGCTGTTAGCTTGTTTGCCATTCTAAATTCCATAAAAAAATACATTATTTTAGGTTTTGATGGATCTCAGTGCAAAAATACTGTATTTGCAAAAATATGTTAAATCAAATACACAGTACTCCCTTTAGCACACTTTTGAATAAAAATTAAGCTTCAAAGTAAAAATGTTTTTTTTTTTTATTGTGCATTAAAAGGTAAAAAAATAAAGTAAAAATAAGAATTTATTAACTAACTTTTATTAATAAAACTAAATTATATAGTAAAAAAACTCCATCTCTCTTTAAGAAAAATCAAACCATAGGCTGGTTTGGACACATAGGATTTATTTTCATGTATAAGTTTAGAAGTTTCCTATAGCCATCTTCCATTTTAGACCAGCTTGATGGTTTTGTTACATTGTATTGTCACTAAGCATGTAAGTACATTGTATGTTAAACTTTAGCTTAATTGGATGTTGGATTTGAACAGAAAGACTCATCATCTTCCTACTATTAAAATATTATACTACTATTATTATTATAATACTACTATTATAATTATTAGAAAGACTATTAAGTAAATATTAAAGCAATAAGAAAATAGGAAGGCATATAAATTAAAAACTTGAAATAAATTATTATGACTTTCTGTGACATAATATGTATAGTAGAAATGGAAACAGCACGTAATTTGTGACTGCAGCCTACTCATGCATATGTATATCATCATCTTCCTACCCTTATCCCAATCATTTGGGGTCAGCATAATAAGATTTTATCCATAATACAAAAAGATTTGGTTTTTTTTATGAACATATTTTATGCATATGTATATATACACTTTATATCCTAAATACATAAAAAACATCACCACTAAAAATATCTTAAAATTTCTATCACTGACAAAAATTTGCAGCAAACTTGAAAGAAGGGCAAGTACTATAGATCACCATGGTTGTAATGTTATAGGTTTTTCTGCCTGAGTAAGCCAATTTCTCAATAATAATAATAATAAATACACAATATGTAGGTAATTAACAAAATGTTAAAACAAAAAACATGATTGTAGACAATTCATGAATTAAGGGAACATTGACACCAAACTTAATTATTAGTGTATTTAAGATTATTTTTTAGGGGGGCCTAGCCTATTAAAAAGGCGCCTTTGTACTCTAAAACATATAAAAGAAGAGGAAAAGGGCCAATCTGGTGTACATGAATTATGCATATACACAGATGGCTCCACAACTGAGAATGGTTCAGGAGCCGGAGTCTTTTCCTTAGACCTTAATATAAACATGCACATACCGCTTGGCGTACACAGCTCAATATTCCAATGTGAATGTGTAGCAATAACCGAGGCTACTGCAGCTGTATATAAACTAGGAATAAATGGTATTGGCATTAGATTCTTATCTGATCGCGCAGCAATACTAAAAGCATTATAAAACAACAAGACAAAAACAAATTAATGATTGAATGCCACCATTCACTGGATAAGATATCTTCCAATAACCAAGTTATCCTCCAATGGATAAGAAGGCACAATGGATCTTAGGGTAATGATGCCACAGACGAACTAGCTAGAAGAGATTCAGGAATGAGGGTGGTAGGCCCATATCCACTTCTTCCTCTTCTGTTCTCGCAATTTTTAATATGTATTCGTCAAAGATTCGCTGACATACAAAACCCACACTATTGGTATACATTGACGAGGTATCAGTAGAAAATGATAGGTGAGAATGAATGCAGGTCAGTTGGCCCACCATGATGAATTCGACAAGAATTAAACATGATGGTTTCCAGGGGAAACCATGTGGAGGTCGACCTGAGAGGGTATATTGCTAGTAATAGGACTATTAGACTCTATTACTAACAATCCCTTTCCCCCGACCCATTGCTAACAAAACACCTTATCAGACTCCTATTATTGACCTCCATGCAGGTCCCTCTGGAAACCAACTTGGTTAATTCTTATGGAATTCGTTACAATGACCTGTCTTTTCATCTCTCACTGGTGTCCCGCCAGCGTATCTTGATAATGTAAATGGGGTTACCATTCCATTATAACTCATAAAAAAAGAGCCCACCTGTCCTCACTCTAAATATGTGATAAATATATTGTCAGTATACTTGGTACTGCTACTCTATGACCTTGCTGTTGCTGCCTACTCTATGACCATTAAGTTGCTAACTTAATGGTCATAGAGTAGGCAGCAATGTCATTCTCAAAACACCATCCAAACCTAACTGCCGTTGTCAACTTGTCAACCAAGCGTGTTAGCTATTGGCAACCCACTCCCCCCAATGATACTATTGTGAACACTCTATATAAGCATTTTATTTGAATCACATTCAATAAAAAAATTCTTATTGCGAAAAGTTGCTTATAGGGGAAAAAAGGAGTATGAAAATACCATCTGGAAAATATTTTTACTTGTTTCTTTTACTAAGCTGAGTAGAATAAATAAAATATAAAAAATGTTGCTTATAGAGAGATTGCTTATATAGAGTGTTCACTGTAATATATTACTTAGAGGCCGTGACTTAGTCTATGTCGTAATCTATAGGAGTTATCCATAAATGATGTTTCATACGAATTTTATGTTTTTTGGATCCCCCTCTCGTCCTTGTCACAGCTGGTTTTATTTGTGAGACTCTCACATCACATATTTTGCAATTTTACATCTAGAAATTGTTGAGTTGGTAATTTAATAGCTAATATAGATTTTGAAACGCGAATCGCGAAACTTCTACCCTTGTCATACAATGTCACATTTCATGTGACACTCCACCCCACCCCTTAATGTGTGACTTAATTTACAGTTTAATAATAATAATGAATACAATGAGACACGCTTAAATTAAGGTAATAAAAGTTTGACCCATATACATGTTTTTAGAGTTCATACCTCAATAAGAAAAATGGAACGCTTATAGAGTCACTTAGTTTTGCGTTTGTTAAGGTCCTTTTTCCCAATAACGTATGTATATATATAGTGTCGAGCTGAAATTAATATCAAATATTCAAGTCCTAATCGATTCCTTGAAGTTGCAAAAAAATAAAATTTAATAAGTCAACGCAATCAAAGGATACTACAGTTTATAGTGTATATTTTACAAACAAAACAAAACCTATAGAGTACTTCCCGTTAACCTAGAATCATGAAATTTGTCAAGAAGCAATGTCGTACAGCACAAGTAGAGATAAAATTTCGAAAACTGTAAATTTGTAGTTACATAACAAATTCTTTTTTGCAATTTATTTTTTTATTAAGTAAGTATAATTTTTCAGAACCCTGAGTACACAAGTCCGACTTGCACTTTGCTAGTTTATTATTATCGATATTGACACCATTTAGGTGACTTTTACCTGAATAGTAGAAGTAGTATTAAAATTTTCTTGTTGAACGTTTTCGGATAAAATACGTACCCAATTAAATATTTCGTACAAATCCTATCAGCCATTATTGTAACAAATAGTCTGACAAATTTAAATTTTTATAAAATTTTAACGAAAATCAAATTTTTTGTCGCCTCTGACTTTTAATAGTACAGATTAAATTATGGTATAAAATAATGTGATCTAGGTATATGCGTATTTATGCGATGTAGGAATGATATACATACATAATATAATAGTGTATTGTGATTAGCATAGTGTGATGCAAAAATGCAGTCCAATTCATAGCATATATCTTAAAATAAGGTAGTAAACTTTTTAGATACTAGCTATAACCCGCGTCTTTACCCACGTTACCAATATAGTATGTATGTATGTATATGTATATATATATATATATATATATTTACTTAAAGTGACTCAACGCAATTGTGTGTGTAAATTTACACTGTCATATACATTTATGCAAGGGTTGTTGTTCCAAAATTAAAAAAAAACTTAATTGAGAAGTGTACCTGCTAAGAATATCTGCGGGATGCGGCTCGCAGTTGATTTGACTTCACTCCCTTGAGTTTCCCTTCGTAGCTCGCTCTCTCTTTGGTGTTATCACAGCCTAAAGGCGACCGACAAACGTGACACGTGCCAGCTCTATCGTGTATTTATCTAACTAGGTAGGTAAGTACTTACCCTATAGTACCAACCAAGTAGTATTGAATTGAATGTGAACAAGTTTTACATTTTAATTAGACATATATGGTATTATGCGTTTGTTCATATAGGTTGAACACTTCAGAACTTCGTGAAGGTATAGTCCATTGGATAAAATATGAATGTTAATGTTTTATTGTTTGATTACTGAGTTTGCACACGTAGGTACCTATTGAAGTGAGCGCATCGGAATTTCTATTATTATTTATACTAACAATGAAAAAGATGAAAATTGTATGGTGTATCTTATCAGAACGAATTCTTGTACAACCTACTTATTCGTTCAAGTTGATAGCAAAATAGCTAGCGATTTGGTCGGGTACCTACACCAGGTCGTTGCCACAATGAGTCAGACGAGACGCTGTGAGTTGACTCAATATAATGATTGCGAAG